CTGAAACGGTTTTGGTCCAAACAAACATGGGGTCTAAAACTAATATTTCGATGAGTCACATTTTTGCCATATGTGTATATATCCTTATTAGCCATAAGGCTGAAGTTTTTTGTATCTTTAATGCTCATGCATATTTTTGATAGTTCCAAATTGTTTTTTATTAATTTCTATTTCGAGATGAGCTACATGATTGAATTTGCAATGAAAAGAAAAGCCAGAGAGATACTACATTCCCACCATTATGCCACGCGTTTCGCCGTTGGTTAAGCGGCTCATCAAGCATATTGGACAATGTGGCTTATAAATGTCGTTACTTAATAAGTTGTATTTATGTTGAATATTGTTGCGAAATTGCATCTACGAATTAAATTCAACCTTGTCAAGTTGCGGACATTTGGCATCACACCAGAACATTCCTTTTCAGACCAGATTTTTCTTGTAGTGTGTGGAGGACACTGTCACACAGAACAACTTCTCTTTCATATTTTATTCAAATACAAATTTTTATACATTTTGCATTTTTTGACTTAGGCGTTTTTGTTTTTATAACGACAGAGGTAATTCACAGATTTTGGTTTTTTTTTTCTTTCTTCTCCCGGCTGCTACTGCTCATGAAATTTCACCTTCTGCCATCCCAATTTTGCACACCTTTTCGTTTCACCACTTCCTCCGAACAAAAATAAAAATCTGCAAGAATTTTAATATTAGATCGTCACTTTTAATCCACTTTTTTTCCTATCTTACATTTTTTTCTTTGTAAATTTTTTTTCACTGGTTTGGCTGTTCTTTAGTAACTAAAACTGTAAAAGCATTTTTTGGTTTTGTTTTGATTATCATCAAATGTCATACGGCCCCAAAAAATTTCCTCTTTAGAGTTGCCCCGTACTAGACCTAAGTACTGTACAAAAAAGTTAACAAATTGTGGCACCCGTACCCCACACATTATACCAAATTTCTAATTTTGTTTTTTTTTTCTGGGAAAAAATTGCCAAAAATATATTAGCACACCCAATGGTTCGAAACTAAAAATGTTGGCAACACAACGACAAACATTTTAAAATTTATAACTAATTAAATCAAACTTCCTTTTTGGAGAAACAAATAAATATTTTCAACTTAAAAACATCCTCTAGAATTTAGAGTCAATATATATTTAAATTCAATCCCAATTTTGTGAAAAGAATTATAGTCCCCATATTAAATGGGTAAGCATTTTATAAGTGTACAAAATTTACAAATTTTAAGTGAATAATAACCTAAAATTGTCTATCTATATTTGGTGTATGATCATCCTAATACGTAGTCACCCACAGTGTAGACTCCCATTTCATCATATTCTTTGAAAATATTATCCAAAAATTGCCAAAAACGAATGAAGTCAAAAAACGACAAGATATCACTAACCTACACCTGCATATAAATAAATTAGAGGTACACCAGCAGTTTGCTTCTGACCAAAGAATCCCGTGTATATGCACAGACATCAGTATACCCTCAATTTTTGGAATATATATAAAGCAACACAGAAGTAGCCGTGCAGATCTCATCTCGAGGACTCTTTCACATAACCTAGACGTACACGTGTTTGAAAAACACTTCTCCCATCCGTTTTAATGCCTTTATGTGTGAAAATCCATACCACCATTTTTATCAAAGGATTCATCACCTCCTGGCCAAATCATTATTATCGACTATACTCAGTCATTAAAAACAAAAAAAAAACGAGAAATTATCCCATATTCAAATCGCAGTTGCATCTGTTTAACGCCATACCAGAATATCATTAAAATATATACACTACCTTACATGCACCATATTACATATGAAATCAACAGAAGATTGAAGAAATTAAAACCTACAAATCCACATTGTATAATACTCTTCAACATCCCGAAATATTTGTGAATAAGCCCGCATCATGGCTAAAAACCCATAATATATCGATAAGTATTTGTCTGTTATAATTGCCCAATTTGATACATTATATTATCTTAAAAATTAAACATAATTCTCTTCAATATAAATCTTTATTATACATTTAAAAATTTCATCAGGCATGAATTAAAGTCCTATATAATATTAAATTTTTATTTATATTCAATTTTAAATTTTCATATATAATGTATCAAAGACAGCATCATCATAATTAAATTACTGACTAACATTTTTTTTTTCTCGGTGTAAGATCAATACAAGAAATTATATATCAATAGCAACAAAAACTACACAAATCATCATCATTACAACAACGATTGAGCAGCATACACATCGAATGGAGGCCTTCAGTACGATCGGAGTATGTTGGTAAGCTTTTTAGTTTTGTTTTTTTACTTCCATTCATAAATTACTTGTGTTGATCAAAGAGAATATGAAGAGAGATCATTTGTTATAAACTGTTATACTTTTTAAATATTGTCACCCCTCTTCGAGTAATTCTCCCCTCTCTTTTTCATTCATATGAACAAATCATCTCTCTCATATAAAATGCTGTAACGTATAGTTTCTATTGATACTGTAAAAAAAATCGTAATTTGTGCGCTCAGATACAATTGCTACACATTAACCCTTTGCGGGTTGGTGATATGAATGTTATTACTATAATTAGTGCATAATTTATAGTCTATTGAAATTATTAATATAATTTGGTATACATTAAGGTTCTCCTATATGAATACGAATTTGAATTTCTATATACATTAAAATGTATTTGAGATATTAAATTACATAAAATATTGAATTCTTCCAATTTTGATGAATACTATAAAATATGATTTGAATAAAAAAATTCAAAGATTTTAAAATGAATGCTTAAGTACTTTTCGAGACGTTTCTTACATAATGGATTAGGTACCTAATATTGGAGTGATGTGATTTAACAGAGGGGCCTTAAAAATAATTAAATATGCCTTTAAGACATTGGTTGGCGTGGGTTATGAGGCATGATTCTCATAACATCAGAGAATCCAAATATTTACTTTTTTTTCTACGTTTTAATGAGGTTATTTTCGATTTCCACTGTAACTTAAAATTTATTTGAATATAGGGGTATTTTTGTTAACACCATATATTTTCTGGACCATAATTTTTGAATTGATAAATAAAAAGGGAGTCTATATTAATTTTAGTAATGAGAACATGGCTTGTGTGGAGAAGGACGCGAACCCCGACATCCCGACTGCTGCTAAGGCTTCAATGGCTCCCGAAGTCCTATCTTTACACTGGTTCTATGATGCGTTAAAAGTATTTAAAAGACATTTGCATCTACAACAAACTTATTGGTTGTGTTCATTACACACATTGACACGTACCACCTATTCCTCGAATATAAGGCCGCATTCGACAGCCCTATCCGTTCAGAAGTGTTTAAAGCCATGTCTGCGTTCGGCATTCCTGCAAAATTAATACGGCCATGCAGGATAACTTTAAGTGGCACATGATCAGCTGTTAAAGTCGGAGCCCTTCAATACCGAACGAGGATTCAGACAAGGTGACAGTTTTTCGTGTGATCTTTTTAACATCCTGCTGGGAAAGGTCATACGAGACGCAAAGGTGAACAGAAATGGCACTCTGGACACCAAACAACTCATGTTAATCGCCTACGCCGATGACATCGATACAATTCGTCCCGGCCGAAATTTTATACCCTCCGCCATTATAACATTATGAACCGCCCTTTCATTAAAAGGGCGGTTCATAATCGAGATAGACCCATGGCTCCTTTTGAGAATATGCATAGAATCACTTTCTGAGTCAATTTATGCATGTCCGTCTGTCCGTCCGTCCATGTATTTTTGTTAACAAAGTACATGTCGCATTTATGACCCGGTCTGGATGAAATATGGCACAGGTCACTTAATTGGCCCAAGGACGAACTCTATTGAAATTTGAGAAAATCGGTCAACGTTTAGGCATAGTTCGCATATAAGGGTACCCCCCAATTTTGGGTATTTTGAGGTTCTTTAGCACGTTTTTTAACTGAATTCGCTGAAATTTGGTACTTTGAGTTCTTATTGGGTAGCAAATCTCTCCACTAAAAATTATAAATATGGGTCCATATTTTCGGATAGCTCCCATATAAGGGTACCTCCAATTTTGCGGTATTTTGGGTTTTTGATCGCATTTTCGACCGAATTCGCTGAAATTTGGTACTTTGAGTTCTTATTGGGTAGCAAATCTACCTACTAAAAATTATAAATATAGGTCCAGTTTTTCTGGTAGTCCCCATATAACGGTACTCCCAAATTTTTGGTATTTTGGGGGTTCTGATCGTATTTTTCGACCGAATTGACTGTAATTTAGTACGTTCTTATTAGATAGCAAATCTCTCCACTATAAATAATAAATATAGGTCCATTTTTCGGGTAGCCCCATATAAGGGTACCCCCCCCCCCCAATTTTCGGTATTTTGGGGTTCTTGAACGCGTTTTTCAACCAAATTCTTTGTAATTTGGGTTTTTGTAGTCGTATATGGTAACAAAGCTCCCTCCCAAAAATTATTAATATTCTAGATAGTTATATGCCAAGGTTTGTTGAAATCGGTTTAAATTTAGATATAGCTCCCATATATAGTTTCGTCCGATTTAAAGTAAATTGTGCACCAAACTCCCAATTTTGGTCCGATTGAAGCAAAATTTTGCACAGAGTACTGAATTAGGTCCCGACTGATGTATGCGAAATTTCTGTATCTACAGGATATTGTAAATATTAACATGTCTTGCATGTACCCATAGTGGTGAAGGGCATCATACAGTCGGCCCCGTCCGACTTTTGAACTTTCCTTACTGGTTTTTTTGGCAAATGGTGGTAGATGTCCCCAAGGAATTGTGTTTCTATCCATGGCATATACATTTATTGACAACTGCAGTTTTTGCATAAACACTATTATTTTAAAAATTCGTTTAAAAAGTTCTACAAATTGTTTTGTAATACTACATCGAAAGGTTAGTCAATCAATAGAATTCGTAACAAATAGAACGTAGGCGAACGGTATTTATTGTGCCATGTCGCCATTGGAAAAACTTATATTGAACAGCACTCAGTTTTCACCTTCTGTGATACCATTAATTTTATCCACTGTGTGGATGGTGAAATTTCATTTCGTATCGTCGATAACAATTGACAGTTATGCTTCCACCACACATAATCGTAATATGCACAACGATTTTATTGATTACGTCCTTAAGGATACAATGAATCCCTATGGAACTATTACCTACTTTGTGGAGGGTCAAATGCGCCCTAATGAAAAGTTCATATATCCAGCTAATCACCAGGAAGCCATGGAGAGATTTTTCAAATATTATGCCAATCGTCAGAGGTCGATATGGTTTGTGGATTGTCTAGAGTCGTATATGTGAGTATAAAAATCTATGTTAAGAAATTTTTTTCTTACAAACAATATGTTTTTTTTCTTCTTCTTTAATCTGTAGAAAATTTGAAAAAAATCTACTGGATATTCAACGCGATTTCCATCGTAATGGATTTTTCTTTTTTGTTTATACGGGCTCTGAGCCAGACCGCATGGCCACAATTCGCATTATATTTCGACGCCTTTTTCAGATGTATGTCGTCAATGCCAATGTCATGATGATGGTCAACGGAGATGCTTATGTCTACACTTATCATCCATATACCACACGAAAATGTAATTCGCCACAACCGCAGTTATTATTCACATTTCGTGGCATTGATTCGGATCCAAATTATACAATGACGTTGCATGTATTCAGCAGTAAGGTGGAAAATATGCACGGTTGCCCTCTGAGTGTTATGACCTCGACATATCCTCCATATGTATTTGTCGATAAAGACCCCTATACGGGGAAATTGAAAGCGCTGCGAGGTATTGACGGTTCTCTTATAACTTTAATGTCCGCAATAATGAATTTTACCATTGATGTTAAGAAACCCCCTTCGAAAGAAATGGGTAAGATTTTCCCGAATGGCACCGCTACTGGAATAGCGAATATGGTAAGTATTTAAAAATATTTTTGAAAATTAATATATCAATATATAATCAATATGGTAGTGTTGGCGGGTTATTTGGGATATCAATTGTATTTTGTTTTTGCAAAATAGCCAGGCTTAATCCCAGTTTGTTGTTTTTATAAAAAAACAACTATTTATGTAATGTAGTTGTCTGTAAATGCCTTGTTGACCACGAAGTCAGGCGCCAACGAAACGAACTTCTCATTGGGGTCGTATCGCTGGTAACGTAGAACTTCGAATTGTCACAAGAGACATTTGGGTTTGAAAGGTTTTTTGTAAAGAAGCTATTAATAGCTTCTGGGGAGAATATCCCAACAAAAACCTAAGGGAACTGATGAGGATCAGTGGCGAGATCCGAAACTATAGTCTTCCCTGCCTTACCCCTCGGCGGACAATGCCATACATTCCCCACTAATAAATAGTTGTTTTTTATAAAAACAACAAACTGGGATTAAGCCTGACTATTTTGCAAAAACAAAATATAATCAATATATATATATATTTGGAGACTTCGTCATTACCTCACTTTTGACCTTAGCGGTAGATATTTTTATGGTATTTAAATAATATGTATTAACATCCAACGATAACAATCTTTCCAAGTTCCTCATTTTGTAGAATCTAACTTCTAACTTCTTCTAAATTATAAATTTTTACATAATAAATGGCCATTCACATACAAGTTTATCAGACGATCGATATGAATCTGATTTATCCCTAAGTTTAATTTGTTTTTGAAAGGAACTTCAATTTATATATTTTTGCAAATTGAAATGGTGTAATAGATAACTTATTGTCACAAATATTTCCAGTAAATCCCTAAGGACTTTATACATTAACATCACCAACCAAGGGCTGAACGTTATGTCCAATATATCAAATTTTATTTGTTTCACCACTCTTTGATATACATAAAAAAACACGTGGCAAAAGACAGACTTATTTCAGATTTTCGTGACTCTTGATGTTTAACCAATAATTCTAACTTCAATTCTTCTTAATCAACTTACCAACTCTTTAAAATAATCCACGCCTTGTCTTGGACCTTGAAAACATATTCCTTAAAATAAACAATGCCTTGTGTTTGTCCTTGAAAAAATATTTAAAAAAAATATTTTTTCAAGGACAAAAGGACCTTGAAAAAATATTTTTTTTAAATAAAGAACGCCTTGTGTTGGTCCTTGAAAAAATATCTTTTTTAAAATAAAAACACGCCTTGTGTTGGTTCTTGAAAAAATATTTTTTTTAAAATTATGTTGGTCCTTGAAAAAATATTTTTTTTAAATAAACAACGCCTTGTGTTGGTCCTTGAAAAAATATTTTTAAAAAATCCACGCCTTGTGTTGGTCCTTGAAAAAATATTTTTTTAAAAAATCCACGCCTTGTGTTGGTCCTTGAAAAAATATTTTTTAAAATAATCCACGCCTTGTATTGGTCCTTGAAAAAATATTTTTAAAATAATCCACGCCTTGTGATGGTCCTTGAAAAAATATTTTTTAAAATAATCCACGCCTTGTGTTGGTCCTTAAAAAAATATTTTTTTAAAATAATCCACGCCTTGTGTTGGTCCTTGAAAAATAGTCTTTATAGAATCCACGCCTTATGTTGGTCCTTGAAAAATAGTCTTTATAGAATCCACGCCTTATGTTGGTCCTTGAAAAATAGTCTTTATAGAATCCACGCCTTATGTTGGTCCTTGAAAAATAGTCTTTATAGAATCCACGCCTTATGTTGGTCCTTGAAAAATAGTCTTTATAGAATCCACGCCTTATGTTGGTCCTTGAAAAATAGTCTTTATAGAATCCACGCCTTATGTTGGTCCTTGAAAAATAGTCTTTATAGAATCCACGCCTTATGTTGGTCCTTGAAAAATAGTCTTTATAGAATCCACGCCTTATGTTGGTCCTTGAAAAATAGTCTTTATAGAATCCACGCCTTAAAATAGTCTTTATAGAATCCACGCCTTATGTTGGTCCTTGAAAAATAGTCTTTATAGAATCCACGCCTTATGTTGGTCCTTGAAAAATAGTCTTTATAGAATCCACGCCTTATGTTGGTCCTTGAAAAATAGTCTTTATAAAATCCACGCCTTATGTTGGTCCTTGAAAAAATATTCTTTAGAAAAATCGACACCACGCCTTATGTTGGTCCTTGAAAAAATATTCTTTAAAAAATCCACGCCTTATGTTGGTCCTTGAAAAATAGTATATATAGAATCAACGCCTTATGTTGAATCTTATGTTGGTCCTTGAAAAATAGTCTTTATTGAATCCACGCCTTATGTTGGTCCTTGAAAAATAGTGTTTATAGAATCCACGCCTTATGTTGGTCCTTGAAAAATAGTGTTTATAGAATCCACGCCTTATGTTGGTCCTTGAAAAATAGTTTTTATAGAATCCACGCCTTATGTTGGTCCTTGAAAAATAGTCTTTATAGAATCCACGCCTTATGTTGGTCCTTGAAAAATAGTGTTTATAGAATCCACGCCTTATATTGGTCCTTGAAAAATAGTCTTTATAGAATCCACGCCTTATGTTGGTCCTTGAATAATAGTCTTTATAGAATCCACGCCTTATGTTGGTCCTTGAAAAATAGTCTTTATAGAAACCACGCCTTATGTTGGTCCTTGAAAAATAGACTTTATAGAATCCACGCCATATGTTGGTCCTTAAAAATATTTATAAAAATAATCCACGCCTTGTGTTGGACTGTGAAAAAAATATTCTTTAAAATAATCCACGCCTTGTATTGGTCCTTGAAAAAATAGTCTTTATAGAATCCAGGCCTTTTCTTGGTCCTTGAAAAATATTTTTTAAAAATTTAACTTTATGGCTCTGATAGTCTATGAAAAAATATTGCTTTTGTGATTATGGTTCAGACAGTCTATGAAGGTCATTACAAAATAAATCTTATGGTCATGACAGATCATGTAAAATATATATACGTTTTAAATCCCCACTTATGCCTGTGATGGTTTAGGAACAACATTTTATAAATTATATTCCATTTTATAAATTAATGCCATTCTTTTATTTCAGTTAATAAAACAAGAGGCCAATATTACTATATTCGGATTCATCTACAGTCCTGAACGTTCTGAAAAATTGCTACCAAGTGACAGTTATTTAACTCTAACTTTTGTCCTGGCCATGCCACTGGGTAGACCTATGACACCATTTGAACGACTCACAAAACCATTTCGTTACATTGTTTGGTCTTGCTTCAGTTCAAGTTTTCTCTTCGGCATTCTTTTTATATATTATATCAAATTCCTGGGGAGATCACGACTAATGCTATTCCTATATGGTCAAGGTAATCGTATACCCTTTACCAATCTGCTGAGCACCTTATTTGGAGGTGCAATATTCCGTCAAATGCCACAGAGAAATTTCGCCCGCTACATCCTGTGCATTTGGTTACTGCACACGTTCGTCTTGAGATTAGCATATTCCGGAGAACTGTTTCAAATTCTTCAAGATGGTAGTGGTAAAAATAATTTACAAACCTTAGAAGAAATTGCGGCTCAAAATTATACCATCTACACGTCGCATGTTATGGAAACTGTCATCAAATTCGCCTTGGCTCATGCCACTAAGCGACAGTATGATGAAGTAAATACACGTGATCGTTTACTGGAGATAATAAGTAAACCGGATAGCAGAGAAAAAATTGCTAATTGCCTCTTCGATTTAACTGTTAAATATTACATTTAAAAGCATCCAACGCGGAGAGTTCGAATTTTGAAGCAACCTATTTTGGCAACTCCGATAACTTTCTATATGCCACGTCATAGCTATTTGCGTTCGCGTACAAGCGGTATCATCCTACGTTTGGTTCAATCAGGACTGATACAACATTTTGTCAAATTTAATGTCTATGCCACATCACAAGAGAATGTACGGACAAGTGAATATCTGCCACTATCGTTAAATGTTTTAATTGGCCTCTATTGGGTATGTGGATTTTTGGCTTTTGTTTGTATTTTAATTTTTAGCTTAGAAATGTTGGCGAAAAAATGTCGCATTCTTCGGAAGATAATGGATTTTTTAAATTTATAAATTTTTTATAATTAATTAAAAATAAATAAATAATGAAAATATAAAATAGCTAGTTATTTTTTTCTTTCTTGAACCGATTTCAACGAAAGAAAAAAAAACTTTTTGGTGACTTTAAACATTGGTGAAAAAAAATTTTAAAGAATACTTTTATAGGGCTTATCATGAGGCGTGTTTTTTAAAAGAACAATTCTTTGACGAAAAAAAAATCTTGAGATTAAAAATTTTTAAGTTAGTAAAAAATCGACGAATATGTGTTTACACTTTATTTTATTATCATTCAAAACAAACATTCAATTAACATTGAATTTTAAAAAAGAACACACACACAATGTGATTTACGCACTTCCATCTCCTCCTCAGTTTTTTTCACGCAACAATAATTAAATACCATTAGCAATATCGTTATCGTCACATCTTCCAATTCACAGCAACACACACGCACTCGCTTCCATCAATCCTTGTGCAATTCCAACCAAGACTTAGCATTAACTGTTGCATTACCATATGTCCGACCGACAGCATAAGCCTCACCTGGCACATGCCCGGCATATTTGGGTATCATTCCAATTGTCCGATGATAGATGACAAATTGTCCCGCATTGGGACAGGCGTTGGCAATGCCCGTCAACTCCATGGGACACCATTCGGCACTCTGTCGGTGATGATAATTATTTGTAAACTCACAGAGGGCACTGTTGGTCAGACGTTTGTTGCTTTGGCCATAATGTGTCATTGTCATTGGTATGTGACCGGCGTAACCTGTGTGGGCAAGCAGGATAGATACAAAAACAGCAATAAATGAAGATGATTTTTAGGAAAATCAAAAACAATTTCAATATTGTGGAATTTTGGTTTAAAAGTAATATTGAATAAAAATTATGTGTGGTAATATGAAAAATTTTAGATGTATACAGCAAAGTCAAATTTTGAAGTATAAACCAAATTTTAAGAGTTTCCTATGTCTGGATTTATACATGCAACAAGCAACTCTGCTGCTGCTCTCTTCGATTCTCTTTTGAATTTCTTCCCCTTTGTCACTTTTTATACCTCTCACTTCTAAGAACCCAGACTATGTTATAGAAATCGAAAACACTGAATAAATTATGATAGTCCCAATTTAGATTAGGCGAGTTTACTTGCGGCAAGTCTTTGTTTGCGGGAGAGAGTGGCAAAGGGAATAGAAATGGAACAAAAAATTGCTCGTATCAACATATTTCTGGCAATTCGTTTTGCGTTTTTTGTTTGTAGTGTCAATAATTTGAAATCCAATCCAGAACATTTTCAAACATAAAAAACATGCACAAAATGTAAAAAAAAAAATTTGAAACCGAATTGCCTTGTATAGACGCATGAAAATCAGGACTTAGGAAGTACTGAAGTTCGCCGCGTTCGCACTTTTTATACTCTCTACTTGGTAGAGAGTATAAGATCTAAATGTATCCACAAACACATCCCATCATACATAATTCATTTTACAGCTTTAGTATGCTGGGTTTAGGCGTATATATTAGAATTTTGTCAAATTTTTATTGAGGCAAAATACTTTTTAAAGGCACTATATATGGTATCTCCACGAATTGATATTATGGTGTAGGGTATAAGAAAACCAGTAAGGAATGTAGTAAAATCGGACGGGGCCTATATGATAACCTTTACCACTTTTGCTATATTCAAGAAATACATCCTTACAGACCTTGCATTTTTGAAGGACCATTGAAATTAAATATGTGATCTGTGATCTGGGTAGAGCTGTGGCTCGGTGTGGAGTTGCATTACAACTGGGTGCCTGACCCATAGAAAGGCAGGAGTTTTAGATGGGCTCCGCTCCTCATCCATTGATCGATTGGTACCTGCATTTCGGTGTGGGGGCGTTGGTTGACGCTTTGTATTAACTGGTGTTTACAGCACCGTGGGGTAAGACCGCAAGTACTCTAAGCACCCCTGTCTATATGTGAACCGACTTAACCCAACGATCAATAACCGTGTATATTTGTATAAAGTATATATATTCTTGATCAGCGTAAAATTCTATGACGATTTATGCAGGTCTGTTGTAATCACTTTAACGTCTAAACGAATTGAGATAAATTGCCAAAATTTTGCAAAAAATTGTCTTTTGTCTACAGGCCCGAAGATGAGCTTTATCGGTCCACGTACCAAATGTCTCCACTAAAAATTATTAATATGAGTCCAATTTTTCGGGTAGCCCCCATATAATGGTTAACCCAGACCAATTTGAATACGTTGTGCGTAATGTTGTGCCGAATCGGACACACTTTAAATCTTTGGTGGACCATTTGCGAAAAATCGGACGAACGATATATATGGGAGCTATATCAAAATCTGAACTGATCTCAATAAAAGTTGGCGCAAGTTAGTCTGTCCTAACTTCAGTACGTTGTGCAAAATTTTATGGCATTAGGCCTAAATTTGACTCTTTGGTGGACCATTAGCTACAAATCGGATGAACATATATATGGGAGCTATATCTAAATCTGAACAGATAAACTTGGCACACTTTTGTCTATTCTAACTTCAGTACGTTGTGCAAAACTTCGTGGCATTAGGCCTAAATTTTACTCTTTGGAGGACAATTTGCGAAAAATCGGACGAACGATATATATGGGAGCTATATCTCAATCTGGTCCGATTTCAATAAAACTTGACACACGTTTGTCTATCCTAACTTCAGTACGTTGTGCTAAATTTCGTGTCAATCCGCTTAAATTTGACTCTCTGATGCAGCATTTGCTAAAATCGGACGAAAATATATATGGGAGCTATATCTAAATCTGAACCGATTGTTCCTAATTTCAATAGGGTTTGTCCCTGGGCCAAATAAATGATCTGTGCCAAATTTCATCTTATTCGGATAATAAATGCGACCTGCACTTTGTTTACAATTTAACATTGACAGACGGACAGCCGGACATGCATAAATCGTCTCAAAGGGAACCATGGGTATATTTCGTTTCCTTTTGACTGTTACAAACATATGCACGAAGTCATATTACCCTGTACCACAGTGTGGTAAAGGGTATAAATATAAAAATTTTTAAATGAAATGGATATCTTACCATTAATAATATATTTCTCTTCATCGCCATCTTCCATAAAATGCGGCACAGTAAACTTAGAATATTGCAATTTGTCTATTTTCAAATCCTTGCAATCCGCCATATTAACAGCTTGACCTTTTTGTAGTACAGGGACCAAGGGGGCTCGATATTTTGTTATGGGCATCTATTATATATTATACACTAAATACATGTCCATCTCATGGCAAATTTGTATCTCACCATTCTTTCCCTTAATTTCGCCTCGAACAAACCATTACCGCTTTCCAGCAGATCACAATGCTCGAGAGAACGTCTTTCACAACGCAAACGTTCTGCAAGGTGTTCATGTTCAGCAATGGCCTTTGTGGCAGCTATTAAATAACGCTGACCCGTTTTATTTTGTAGATTTGGTATAAACCCCTCATATCCGGGTATTATGGGTGGTTTATAAATCGAATCAAGAAATGTTGAACGATTTTTTAATACTTCTATTTCATTTGCTGAGGGTTCTTGTGTGACTTCTTTGGGCTTTGTCTGAGTCGATAATATCAATTCGGGTGCATGTTTTGCACATGGATCCAACAGCAGCTGATGACTTAATTTCGCAAAGGTTTTACCTTGCCGAAAACGATATTGGGGACAATGGCCAGTATAGCTGAGGAGAGGGAAAATAATTCAGATTTTTTTTAGTAATTCTAAAATAGCTATTTACCCCGGCATATAATGAGGTTCAGGAGTAATAACGGAGTCCATATATATAATTTTTTAATTATTTCACTTAAAATTTTGAAATTAAATTAAATACAATTAATTTATTTATTTATAGTTTTAAAATTTTGTGGCATTATTTGTCAAAAAATGTCAAAGCAGAAACGTAAACTGTAGTGTTAACATTTTTTTTCTAAGAATTGAGAATAGGTCTATTCCCGTACTACAAGAATCTATTATTTATACCATACACAACTATGCTGCCAGGGTATTATAGCTTTGTGCAGCCCCAAGAGTTTGTAATGCCGCGAAATATTGACCCTAGATCCACCTTCATGTATACCGATCGTTATATCTCTCGATCTGTCCATTATAATTTGTAAACACGATACATGTCACAGTTATGGAACAATCGTCACGATATTTTGCATGTTGGATGGGTTCGGACCAAAGAACACCTCATTGTGTTTAGTAATGATCCTTTAATATTAGGTTGGGCAAAAAAGAAATCCATAAATATACCCTACACAACTATGTTGACAGGGTATTATAGCTTTGTGTAGCCCCAAGAGTTTGTAACGCCGCGAAATATTAGTCCTAGACCCCCCTTTAAGTATACCGATCGTCATATCTCGACTAGCTGAGTCGATCTAGACATGTGTGTCCGTCCGTCCGTCTGTCCATTATAATTTGTAAACACGATACAGGCCACAGTTATTGACCAATATTCACGAAATTTTGAATGTAGGATGGGTTCTGGCCAATGAAGACCCATATTGTTTTTGGTAAAGATCGGTTAATATTCAGGGGATGAAATAGACCAAATACTAAATTTTTGTCGGTTTTTCTGGTCGATCCAGAGGCCGCAACTATGGCCCGAAAATCGTGAAATTTTACATGGAGAAGGGGATTGGGTCAAAGAATAAGCATGCCTGTTTTTATAAAGATCGGCAAATAATTAGCGGGCCAAATGGACCCAGACTTTTGTGTGAAAAATTACAAAATTTACTCCTGAAGGAAATAGACCCGAGAGGTTGATATTATATCCGAGAGGAGCGGTTGACCTTTAAATTGATACCAATTATATTGTGGTGCGTACTCGGATGTGGGAGTTACACTTAAATATTTACAGGTGCTTACGTATTCAGATATTATTTAGTAACCCATTACCACATTAGAGGTCGGAAATATAGCGCTGATCGCTTTGAAATTTTTCATGAGGATCCAGGTATGGTCAAGGATAATGCCTATAATTTTCGGTGACCCGAAAACTTAATTTTTTTGTGTTTTTTTTTTCGAGTCGATCTATAGGCCACAAGCTGAACATCGCAACACAAGGGAAGGGAATCTGGACAAATACTTAGAAGAGCTTTACTGAATATTAGTAATATTTGTTGGTTGGCCACTAGTCGGTCAAGAGGGTGCAAATATCGCGAAATATTACCATACCTCAGAATGTAGTGCCGCAGAAAGTTAGATTTTCGTGAAGTTGGTCGGCCCCGTCCGACTATACTGCTCCGCTCACTGGTTTTTATATGTTTCCTTCTATCGTTGTCCGGAAACAAGGCCTTCTTGAAATTTGTGCACAGGTTTGGGCCTCACTTCTCTAGTGTTGTTTTCCGATGGATTTCATTCCTACTTTGTGTTATCCTCATGTGTTGACACCTGGGTTGGTTATTTGAATGCAAGTGGTCTTCGGATGCATGTCATCTGCCGAGAATTGGTAGCCTTTTTACAAATTTTCGAAAATCACAATGAAAGTAGTTTCCTCCTCTAGCATCCGAATTCGGACACATCGCTTTGTAGTCGCGCACACTACGCCACCCCCGTTACAATGATACAATACCCTGTACCACAGCGTACTGTAGGATATAAAAATTGTCCCCAATGACTTGAAGTGTTCTTCGAACTCTTTTTCTTACAACCTTTGACATGACCCGTTCAAGTCTTTACAAAATAGTTAACAGTTTGCTCCTATTTTTCTTTAACATTCTTTACCTGCAGAGTTACAAGAATAAACCTACATGTATTTTTATATGCAATTTATAATATACACACCCCCTAACAAATGTTTTGATTAATTTCTTTAAGGGTAAGATAGCCGTAACATAGGTCAGGGTTAAACCAGTCAGTTTATTGAAGATAATTGTTTATAATTTAAAATTTCGTGACACTCTTGAAATAGAAATGAAAGTGTATTTTTTGTGTATGAAAGTGTATTTAAATTTCGCATTTCATATTTAGTCGTAAAATGAACCTCCGATGGAGCGGAACAAGCAAGACAAAATGTTTGAACAGCTGACAATTTTCGCAGAATAAATTGTATTGGACAATGACCCAATTCAGCTGTAGCCATGATTAAACGCAATAATATGAATATTGCTCATTTGTGGAGTAAATCAGTAAGGAGGACAATATTATTATATGTATGTTATACAATGTAATTACCAATTTATTTAGAAAAAATAAATCCTTTTTTGCATGGTATGCAGGTAGTAACTAACGCAGAAAACATCTAAATTTTTGACAGTATTCACGTTATTGGTGTAAAGGACATAAGTATAGCTTTCAAAAACTTAATAACGGGAGATCTTTTATACCAACCGTGTTTTAAATACCTATCGGACATTTCGTGTTTAGTATTAAAGCCAAACATCTTCAGTTTGTTCCACAAACACTGTGCAAAAAAATCAAGGGAGGGAGCCTACCAAAGTGACGAGAAGACGTCCAGTAGACTCGGACCAACTATGAAACATGAAAACTACAGCTTTGAGGTAGAAAGCGATTTTATATATCTTGGTACCACCATAAACAAAACTAATGACATCAGTTTTGAAATTCGGAGAAGAATAGTCTTGGGTAACAGATGCTACTATGATCTGAGTAAGTAATTCAAGAACAAGGCCACCTCTCGCCAGACCAAGCTTACATTCTACAAGCTCACACTTAAGCATGGCAGCACTTGAAATGTTTGAGTGAAAAATTCTTCGTTAGATCTACCGGCCGATTTGCATCGACATAGTCAGATGTATTGAAATGCAGGGAGCTATATCTAAATCTGAACCGATTTCAACGAAACTTTATTTATACAAAATTGCGTGCCAATCGAACAAACTTTGGGTCTTTTGTGCACAATTTACATAAAATCGGAAGAAAATATATAATCGGAACGAAATTCCTCGAAAGTTAACACACATTATTCTAAACTTAATTCAGCACGCTATGCCAAATTTCGTGCAAATCGAAGGATATGTAGGGACTTTGATGTACCATATAAATTAAATCGGACGAATATATATATATGGAAGCTATATCTAAATCTGAACCGATATTCACGAGACTTAACACACATCATTCCAGACTTAATTCAGTACGCTATGCTGAATTTCGTGCAAATCGAAAGATATATATTGACTTTACATTAAATCGGAGGAAAATATATGGGAGCTATATATAAATCTGAACCGATTTTCAGGAAACTTACCACACATCACTCTAGATTTTATTCAGCACGCTATGCCAAATTTCGTGCAAATCGTAAGATATATAGGAACTGCGCTGCATCATTTATATTAAGGGAACTTTTTACCAAAACCATGTTAAAAAATAAGGAAGATCTTCACCGATTGGCTTTATCTTAGTTCATACGAGAGCTATACACTCCCAGAGAAACGTTGCAAATTTTGGAACCGATTGGATTATTAGTTTTTGAGTTATCGTGCTCGTCATTCACAAAAACATGTTTAGAGAAAAACGCGTTTAAAGTTTGAGAAGCCCTTCAGCCGTCACTTGATGCTGACACAATAAATCGGATATATCTTCAACAGTTCTTGAGATTTTCACTTGAAATTTTGTAGAGACATTCTTTAATCAGCGTAGATTCGAATTATATCAACAAAAATTTTGACCCCGAGAATCATTTATATTAAATCGGGAAAAATATATATGGGAGCCTTGTCTAAATCTGAACCGATTTTCCAATTTCAATAGGGTTCATCCTTGGGCCAATTAAATAAGTATTGCCAAATTTCATCTAATGCGGATCATAAATGCGACCTGTACTTTGTTTACAATTTAACATGGACAGACAGACGGACTGACGGACGGACATGCATAAATCGACTTACAAAGTGATTCTACGCACATTCTCAAAAGGAACCTATATGCATATCTCGTTTCCTGTTGCCTGTTACTAACATATGTACCACAGTGTATTGACCACATATACCCCAGTGTGGTGAAGGGTACAAAAATAAAAATACAATTGGACACCGAGATTTTATACCTTGGCACTACTTCCTGTAAGGTCAAGGGAAAGATAAGGTCTACAATAACCGACCAGCATAGATATGACCTCAAAGATAGAATTGAGGTGGTGCGTGTTCATGGTGGTTATTGGGCTGATACCGTCTAGAAATATGCGTAATATCTGGACCAGATTACATTGTATGTACTCATAAAAATATATAAAATCCAAGGACCGAAAATAACAGTTATTTTTTTTAAAATGCGAACAAAAAAATCTTCATGTTAGAGACATGGGACACCTATAGTGTCATATACCATTAGATTCGTATTGGGGAGCCCATTAAGGATATTGAGTGATCTTGAGAAAACACCCTCAGTTCTCATGTTAGGGGTTATTATTCAACGGAAAAAAATTTTTAACTGTTAAAAATGATTGTTATTTTTTCCGTTAAAAATAAAACTCTTTTAGGGATTTTTATTTTTTTTTATAAAACTCTTTTTGGGATTTTTATTTTTTCCGTCAGAGGATTTTTTTATTTAGGCCACAAAATAACAGTTATTTTTTACCTGATTTGATATAACTTATAACCGTTACGGTCCCTGATAAAATCTCAACATTTCGACACACTTTTTGAACCAAACTCGTATTTCCTCGTTGTCTGGCAATACGTATTTTCCCTGAAATCCAGATACGCATACTATCGGTACCGCCCTCCCTTTTATTGCACTGTATTGCATCACGTGATAGCCATGTTGTCTAGTGTGTTATTACAATCGTAATTATTTACTTCTCATTCTGTCCTAACCTTATACATACATACATATTTTTTTGCAAATTCTGGTAGTTGTCCCCAAGGAATTGAATTTTTTATTCATGGCATATAATTATTGACACCTGTAGTTTTTTGAGTATGAAATCGAAGGTAAGAATTTTTTTCCAAATAATATCTTTTTTTCTTCTGCAATCCCTAGAAAATTTGAAAAAAATCTGCTGGATATTCAACGTGATTTTCATCGTAATGGATTTTTCTTTTTTGTTTATACGGGCTCTGAGCCAGACCGCATGGCCACAATTCGCATTATATTTCGACGCCTTTTTCAGTTGTATGTCGCCAATGCCAATGTCATGATGATGGTCGACGGAGATGCTCATGTCTATACATATCATCCATATACCACACGAAAATGTAATTCGCCACAACCGCAGTTATTATTCACATTTCGTGGCATCGATACGGATCCAAATTTTACATTGACTTTGCATGTATTCACCAGTAAGGTGGAAAATATGCAAGGTTGCCCTCTAAGTGTTATGACCTGGACATATCCTCCATATGTAATTGTCGACAAAGACCCATATACGGGGAAATTGAAAGCGCTTCGAGGTGTTGAGGGTTCGCTTATAAGTTTAATGTCCGAAGTAATGAATTTTACCATTGATGTTAAGGAACCCCCTTCGAAAGAAATTGGCGAGATTTTCCCGAATGGCACCGCTACTGGAATGACGAATATGGTATGTATTGTTGTCGAACGTCTGTAAGATTAGATTTAAAAAAATTGTTGTAATACAAGGAGAGGGGAAAGCGAGACTTAATATTTTTAATGTGATGTACACTAGGCCTGCAGTGTCGAAGTCGGATGAGGTAATACATGTGTATAAAAACCTGGAGTGGTCCCATCTTCGGTCTCGAAATAAGCTATTTAAAATATTACGATGCGCAAAGTTTGGATGAAATTTGAATATTCCGTTTGCTGCATATGAGATTTGGATGTTTTGAGAAGTTTTACCCTTTGTGGGGAGGTTCATGAAGTAGCGAATTGATAACTCCCATCTTTCAACATTAATGAGTAAAATATTAGTTTGGCTTGAGTCGGATGCCATGTTCGTATGATATTATAAAATGCGTTTTCAGCACAATTTTGTGGGGGAGGTACCAAATGGAGTGGACAGATATTCTCCATCTTCGAACTTAAACTAAGTTTGGATTAAATATTACTATGTTCAATGTTTGAACATTGGTTACTCCCTTCGAGAGTATTGAATAAATCCGCAATGAAAATTCAAATGTCTTGCTTTATTAAGTCAGAATACGGAATGAAAATATAAAAAAAATATTTTCTAGAAATTTACAAAAAACCAGAAAGTAAAGTTCAAAAGTCGGACGGGATCGACTATATGATTCCCTTTGCCACTTTGGGTATATACAAAATTTGATAATATGTACAATGCCCTGTAGATAGAACAGACATAGCATCTTTGGAACGCCATTAAAATTGAATCGGCCGAATCTATATAGATATTTGAGCCAATAAATAACCATACACATACCACTCTGATATCTATGAAAAATGGCATGTCAATCGGGCAGGTGTACAATTTGTATGAAACCGGGCAAAATTATATATGGAAACTATACTATACGGACGACACTATATATGAAATCTGAACCGACTTCAGCAAAACTTCACAGACATCAAACTGGACCTAATTCACTACGCTGTGCAAAATTTTGTCTCAATCGAACAAATATTGGGAGTTTGTTGCACAATTTAGGCAAAAGAAAACGAGATAGACCCATGGCTACTTTTGCGAATATGCATAGACTCACTTTCTGAGTCGGACTTCCGTCCGTCTGTCCGTCCATGTTAAAGTGTAAACGAAGTACAGGTCGCATTTATGATCCGAATTGAATGAAATTTGTCACAGCTCACTTATTTGGCTCCAGGTCGAACCATTTTAAAATTGGGAAACATCAGTTTAGATTTGGATATAGCTCCCATATATATTTTCGTTCGATTTAATGTAAATGGTGTACCAAAGTCTATATATATATATAGTCTACAATGATGTGTGTTAAGTTTCGTTAAAATACTGAATTGAGTTCGCAATGATGTCTGATAAGCTTCGAGAAAATTGGTTCGGATTTAGATATAGCTCCCATATATATTGCGTCAGTTACATGGACGTTGTTTCCGACCCGTCAGTCTATACTATTTGTTCGCTGGTATAGATAATATTTTTAAAGGAATACGAAGCTTTTTTACTCTCTACCACCATGCAATGTAGCAAAGTCCGCCCGTAAATCCCTAGGGACTTCATAAATTAACTTCACTAAACAATGGTTACACGTTATATTGACTTTACTTAGTCTCACGAGTTTGTGATATAAGTAAAAAAAACACGTGGCTAAAACAGACTTATTTCAGATTTTCGTGACAATTGATGTTTAACTCCTGCGATGTTTTCCCCCTCTTCCAAAATACTACTATTATTTCGATAATTTTCCACAAATGTTCGTGCAAGCCCCATTGTTTTTGCTCATCTTTGATTAATAGATGAATGCATTTGTTGTGTAATTTCAACATTTAAATATTAGTCAATAAACAAAAGTCATAACAAGCACAAGGATAATTTGTTTAAAAACTGCAAAATCTTCCATTTTGCTATGTCACCTCTGGAGAAACTGATACTAAATAGCAATCAATCTTCCCCTTCTGTATTACCCTTAGTTTTTGCTGCTGTTTGGATAGTAAGACATGATTTTGCCGTCTACACGGTGTCATCGGTGACAATTGGCCAATATTCCTCGAATTCCAAAAATCTGTATTTGCAAAATGATTTAATTAATCGATTGTTGAAGGATACAATGAATCCATATGGAATTATTAAATATTTAGTAGAAGGTGAAATTTATCCTTACGAAGAGTATGACGACACAGTGAGTCATAAAGATGCAATGGACAGGTTTTTTAAATATTATGCCAATCGTGAAAAGTCGATATGGTTTTTGGATAGCCTAAAGGCTTACCTGTAAGTATGCGACCCTTATAAAGAAGTTAGTTAACAACTTTTCCGCTTAGGAAATTCGAGGAAAATCTTTTGAAACCCAATCGTGGCTACCATCGTAATGGTTTCTTCATTATTATCTACACAGGGTTTGAGGCAGAACGTTTGGTAACAATACGTAATATATTTAGCCGCCTGTTCTATTTGTATGTCGTCAATGTGAATGTAATGATGATGGTTGGCAAATATGCCTATGTCTATACCTACTATCCATTTACGGCACGAAAATGCCATTCACCACAACCGGAATTGTTATTTTCATTTCGTGGCATTGAATCTAATCCAAATTTTACTCTTAAAAACGGTCTGTTCCCTAATAAAGTTACCAACATGCATGGCTGTCCCCTCAGTCTTGTCTCATGGACTTATGCTCCATATGTATATGTCGAAAAAGATCCGCATACGGGTACATTCATAAAAATACATGGTATAGAAGGTTCGATTATATCATTGCTATCGCAACAAATGAATTTTTCGATTTACATAAAAGAACCCGATCCATTGGATGTTGGAGAAATTTTCACCAATGGCACATCTACTGGAGCAGCAAAAATGTTAAGTGAAATGTAAGCAATGTTCTGCCAGGAAGACTTCTATGATTTGACCTGAAAATTAATGCTACTTTGGTAACAAAAAATAAATCCACTCCTTGTGTTGGTCCTTGAAAAAATATTCTTTAAAAAACCCACGCCTTGTATCGGTCCTTGAAAAATATTCTTTAAAAAACCCACGCCTTGTATCGGTCCTTGAAAAATATTCTTTAAAAAACCCACGCCTTGTAGTGGTCTTTGAAAAAATATTCTTTAAAAAATCCACGCCTTGTGTTGGTCATTGAAAAAATATTCTTTAAAAATTCCACGCCTTGTGTTGGTCCTTGAAAAAATATTCTTTAAAAAATACACAACTTGTGTTGGTCCTTGAAAATATATTCTTTAAAAATTAATTGTTATGGCTCTAATAGTCTACGAAAATATATTACTTTTGCTATTAATGATCCAACAGTCTATGAAGGTCATTACAACATAACACTTATGACCTTCATAGATCTTGAAAAATATATTTACTCTTTAAATCCACATTTATAGCTCTGATATTTTACGAAAAATATTGTATAATTTATATTCCGTTTTATAAATTTATGTCATTCTTTTATTTCAGATCATACAACAGGAGGCCAATATTACAGCCGCGGCGTTCATCTACAGTCCTGAACGTTCTGAAAAATTGCTACCAAGTGATAGTTATTTAACTCTAACTTTTGTCCTGGCCATGCCATTGGGTAGACCTCTGACACCATTTGAACGCCTCACAAAACCATTTCGTTACATTATTTGGTCATGCTTCAGTTCGAGTTTTCTCTTCGGCATTCTTTGTATATATTATATCAAATTTCTAGGGAGATCACGACTAATGCTATTCATATATGGTCAAGGTAATCGTATACCCTTTACCAATCTGCTGAGCACCTTATTCGGAGGTACGATGTTCGGTCAAATGCCACAGAGAAATTTCGCCCGCTACATCCTGTGCATTTGGTTAATGTACACGTTCGTCTTGAGATCAGCATATTCGGGAGCACTGTTTAAAATTCTTCAAGATGGTAGTGGTAAAAATAATTTACAAACCTTAGAAGAAGTTGTGGCTCAAAATTATACCATCTACACGTCACAGGTTATGACATCCGTTATCAAATTCGCCTTGCCACATGCCACTGTGCGGCAATATGATGAAGTAAATACACTGGATCGATTATTAAAGATAATTAGCGAACCGGATACTAGAGAAAAAATTGCTCTTTGCCTATTCGATTTAACTTTTAAATATTACAATCAAATGCACCCAACGAGGAGAGTTCAAATTTTGAAGCAACCCGTTATGGCAACTCCGATCATTTTCTATATGCCACGTCATAGCTATTTGCGTTTGCATACAAGCGGCATCATTCTGCGTTTGGTCCAAGCGGGACTGATAAGGCGTTTTGTCAAATTTAATGTCTATGCCACATCACGTGATAATGTACGGACAAGTGAATATCTGCCACTATCGTTAGATGTTTTAATTGGCCTCTATTGGGTTTGTGGATTTTTGGCTTTTGTTTGTATTTTAATTTTTAGCTTAGAAATGTTGGCGAAAAAATGTCGCATTCTTCGGAAGATAATGGATTTTTTAAATTTGTAAATTAATTAAAAATAAATAATGAAAAAAATAAAGAATACTTTTTTAGGGCTTATCGATTTCAAAAGTAAAGTTTTACTAACGGTATTCTAAAATATGGGTGGGTGTAAGGCCAATATTTCGGGTTTGTTCACTCTTCACAAAAAAATGCACTTATAATACCCACACCAACATTTCACAAAAATGTTCTGGCCACACAAAACTTCTTAAGATTTTAAAATGTTTAAGGGATTTGAAAAAAACCACGCATACTTGTTTACACTTTATTTCACTATCATTTAAAACAAACATTCGATTAACATTGAATTTAAATCACAGCGACATTTACGCACTTCCATTTATCCACGCAACAACAATTAAATGCCATTAGCACTATCATTATCGTCACATCTTCCAATTCACAGCAATACACACACGCACTCGCTTCCATCAATCCTTGTGCAATTCCAACCAAGACTTAGCATTAACTGTTGCATTACCATATGTCCGACCGACAGCATAGGCCTCACCTGGCACATGCCCGGCATAGTTGGGTATCATTCCAATTGTCCGATGATAGATGACAAAATGTCCAGCATTGAGACAGGCGTTGGTAATGCCCGTCAACTCCATGGGACACCATTCGGCACTCTGTCGGTGATGATAATTATTTGTAAACTCACAGAGGGCACTGTTGGTCAGACGTTTGTTGCTTTGGCCATAATGTGTAATTGTCATTGGTATGTGACCGCCGTAACCTATCAAAAACACCAATCAATGAAGGTGATTTTTACGAAAATCAAAATCAATTTTAAAATTGTGGAAAATAATATTTAATAAAATAAAATGAAGTTAAAACGTCCTGAAGTTCGGCCGGTTTACACATGCAATTTTTGTGAGCAACTCTGCTGAGTTATTAGAAGAGAGAGGTATAATCAGTGACAAGGGGTCATAGATTCAAACGAGAATCGTAGAAATCAACAGCACCATAAGATGGAATCCTGCAAAACCGAAAAATGGGTGGGGGCGTTATATAGGGACTTTAAATTCGGGGTTTCCTGTCAAAATCGTGTTTGGAATATGTTTTAAATATAGATTCGCCCACAAATGGGAGGGGAGAGGTACCAGAAGATGTGGACCGATATTCACCTCTTCGAAATTGGATAAAGTGCTTACTCTCTTCGAGAGTTATCGTTCTCTTCTTTATTTTTATTAAATATGTTTAAGGTCGGACGAAGGTGTGGAGTTTTATTATAGCTTTGTGCAGCCCCAAGAGTTTATAATGCCGCGAAATATACCGATCCATTATAATTTGTTAACACAATACTAGCCGCAGTTATGGACCCCAGAAGTTGATAGTATGTATATCCAAGAAGAGTGGCTGACATTTAAATTGATTCCAATTAAATTGTTGTATGTACTTCGATGTGGAAGTTACACTTAAATATAGTAACCCATTACGACAGAAGAGGGCGGAAATATAACGCTGATCGCTTTGAAATTGTCAATGAATTCCCAGTTATGGTCAAGGACCAAGTCTATAATTTTCGGTGATGAACAGATAATATTTTGGTATGAAATGGACGGAATAATATATATATATATATATATATTTTTTTTGTTGATCGATCTAGCACAGCCCAAGTTTAAAGGAATCTGGGCAAGTAATTTGAAGGACTATACTGAATTTTAATAATATTCGGAAAATATGTCAGTGTAAGGAAGATGTGCTATTGACCTTTAATCGGGCAAGAGGTTGCAAATGTTGCCATGGCCCAAAATAATAATGTAGGGTATAGTATGGTTGGCCCCGTCGGCTCATACCAAAATAAAATTTATTTATTTATTTTTTATTTTTATACCCTTCACAACACTGTGGTACAGGGTATTATGCCTTTGTGCATATGTTTGTAACAGATAGATACATGGTTCCTTTAAATTGCATACAAAGTACAGGTCGCATTTGTGATCCGAATACGATGAAATTTAGCATAGGCCACTTATTTGGCCCAAGGACGAACCCTATTGAAATTGGGAAAAATCGGTTCAGATTTAGATATAGCTCCCATATATAGTTTCGCCCGATGTTAGGTAAATGTTGCACCAAAGTCCCTGAAAATCATTAGATTTGCACGATTTTTGGCATAGCGTACTGAATAATGTCGAGAATGGTGTGTGTTAAGTTTCGTGAAAATCGGTTCATATTTAGATATAGCTCCCATATGTATTTTCGTCGGATTTATGGTAATTGGTGCACCAAAGTCCCTATATATGATATCGATTTGCATCGATATGTATTCGATTTGCACGAAATTTGGTATAGCCTACAGAATTACGTCTAGAGTGATGTCTGCCAAGCTTCGTGAAAATCAGTTCAGATTTAGATATAGCTCCCATATATAGTTTCGCCCGATTTTAGGTAAATGGTGCACCAAAGTCCCTGAAAAATTATTCGATTGACACGAAATTCGTTATAGCCGAATTTTGGTATAGGGTACTGAAATAAGTCTAGAATGATGTGTGCTAAGTTTCGTGAAAATCAGTTCAGATTTAGATATAGCTCCCATATATAGTTTCGCCCGATTTTAGGTAAATGGTGCACGAAAGTCCCTGAAAATCGTTCGATTGGCACGAAATTCGTTATAGCCTTTGAATTAAGTCTAGAATGATGTGTGCTAAGTTTCGTGGAAATCAGTTCAGATTTCGATATAGCTCCCATATATATTTTCGTCCGATTTATGGTAATTGGTGCACCAATGTCCTTATATATCATTCGATTTGCACGAATTTTGGTATAGGGTACTGAAATAAGTCTAGAATTATGTGTGCTAAGCTTCGTGAAAATCGGTTCAGATTTACATACACCTCCTATACATATTTTCGTCCGGTTTTGGCCGATTGATACAAAGTACTGAAGTTAATATAAATTAATATCTGACAAGTTTCCTTGAAATCGGTTCGGATATAGATATAGCTTCCATATATAATTTCGATGTATTCATGGTAATTGTAAACCAAGTAATCAATGGATGTCTGATTGAGATTAAATTTTAAACCGTGAAGCAAACCAAATAGCGTGTGATATAGATACAGATCACATATTTCAGTTCGTTCAATTTCATGTCAATGGTCCTTCAACAAGACGACGTCTGTAAGGATACATATATGTAGAATACACCCACAGTGGTGACGGGTATCATAGAGTCGGCCTAGTCCGACTTTACTACATTACTTACCTTTTTTTTTTTTTTTTGAGTCGATCTAGCACAACCCAAGGTGAAATGAATCTGGACAAGTAATTTGTAGGGTTGTAATGAATTTTAGTGTACTTTTGACCTCTAACGATAACGAATTTCCCTCTATGTTATCGATGCAAATAGTAAAATCTAGTAGATTCTTGCATTACGTGAACAGACCAATAGTGTTAAATATTTTTTCGTGGAATAACGTAAGAAGGTTGAATTTGTTAACAATGTTTTTTTTTCGCGGCCTGACATGGCGTGTTTTTTATACCCTTCACCATAGTATGGAGGGTATATTGATTTTGTCATTCCGTTTGTAACTCATCGAAATATTCATTTCCGACCCTATAAAGTATATATATTCTTGATCAGGGTAAAATTCTAAGACTATCTAGCAATGTCAATCCGTCCGTCTGTCCGTCCGTCCGTCTGTTGTAATCACGCTATCTTCTGAAGGAATTGAGATATGGTGCTGAAATTTTGCATAGGATTGTCTTTTGTCTGCAGGCAGGTGAAGTTCGAAGATGGGATATATCGGTCCACATTTAAGCATAGCTCCTATATAAGGGTACCCGCCAAATTTCGGTATTTTGGGGTTCTTAAGAGCGTTTTTCAGCCGAATTCACTGAAATTTGGTACATTAGGTTCTAATTGGGTACTAAATGTCTCCACAAAAAATTATAAGTATAGGTCCACTGTTTCTGGTAGCCCCCATATAACGGCACCTCCTAATTTTCAGTATTTTGGGGTTTTTATCGTATTTTTCTGCCGAATTTGGTGTAATTTAGTATTTTGAGTTTTAATAGGTACCAAATCTCTCCACAAGAAATTATGTATATAGGTCCATTTTTCGGGTAGCCTCCATATAAGGGTACACCCAATTTTCGGTATTTTGGGGTTCTTGAGTGCGTTTTTCAGCCGAATTCGCTGAAATTTGCTAAATTGGGTTCTTATTGGGTCCTAAATGTGTCCACAAAAAATAATAAATATAGGTCCACTTTTTCTGGTAGCCCCCGTATAACGGTACCTCCCAATTTTCAGTATTTTGGAGGTTTCATCGTATTTTTCCGCCGAATTAGCTGTAATTTAGTATTTTGAGTTCTTAGTTGGTACCAAATATAGGTCAATTTTTTCTCATAGCTTCCATATAAAGGTACGCCCAATTTTCGGTATTTTGGGGTTCTTGAGCGCGTTTTTCAACCGAATTTGCTGCAATTTGGTATTTTGTAGTCGTATATGGTAACAAATCTCTCTACCAAAAATTATTAATATTCGCCCCCGTTTTGTGGTAGTCTCCATATAACCCCCTTTTTTATATTAAAATAGTTATCTGATTTTGGTTCTAAGTTTGGTTCTAAGACTCTATTGTAATCATTTCACATGCGGAGGATAGCGAGATCAAAAATTAGAACGTAAGGTTCGATAATGAACTATAGCCGCATTTAGACCTAGCCTCTGTGTGGAGGTTTCAGAAGGAGTGGACCGATATTCCCCATCATCGAATTTGAATTATCAATTAAAAATTTCTGAAATTTGTATTATGTTTTACATAATCCGTTTTTAGACATGTCGGTATAGGTTCACTTTTTGGTATGTTCTTTATATAGTCATTTCTAATACCTGTCAGTATATCTATGGTGGAGGTTATCCAAAGTTCGGCCCAGCCGAAATTAACGCTTTTTCACTTGTTATATTTTCTACGGTCTAACAGAAGGCAATTCGATATATATCCTCAAAAATACCATCTTCTTGTATGTTACAAACAGACATACACAATGCACGTATACATGAACAGTGTGCAAAGGTTATATAAATGTAATAAGGGCTGACATGCTGACAATAAACTATCACATAAACGAGTGAATATTCTGAAGTTATCAATGTCATCTACTAATCATAAACCAACATTCAAGTGGTGTTATTACACATGTCAAATCGATTACGACTTAATCACAACATTATCATCAATTGGTGTAAATTACACACATTTGGCTATGTAATCCCTTTAATAAGAATTAAAATGTTAGTGTCATAAAATAAATGTCTATAGGCAATTAATCATGTTCGCTATTGGAATTTCGGTTATTACCAAAAAGATACGACTGATATACAAATAGTTATAAAATTTGTTTATGCGCTTCAAAATACTCTTGTGTCATCCTTTCGACGGAACTTATAACATCGTCGTGATGCATTTGAAATTGTATATCTGCATTGGACTCTTGTCAAGTCTTATTGTGGCTGATCGATTTAATAGAACGGAATGTGAAAATCTAATAAATGCCATCGCGATAATAATTAAAGATACTAAAATTTCCTATAATTTATTGCTATATGCCAACTACAATAGAACATCGCAGTTGGAGAAATATTATTTTGATGATTTAGTTGATGGAATCGTTCACAATTTAAAAGATAGTACTGTAAATGTCTTTGCGCACTATCAAAAACGATTTCGACGTTTTAAAAGTATTGAGGTTTTGCTGTTCGATGATATTCCATCAATTGAGTAAGTCGGATATTTTTATTTTTCTAGTAGAACATTAAAATAGTTAACAAACTTTTTTTCGTAGCTACTTCTATGCAAATGTCAAAAACAGTGGCTCATCAAATTTATCGCATACCATTATGTATATATCGTATATAACATCGCTGGATGTCAATGCCATATCGTATGTTTTCAAACTGATTTTTCAAATGAGTCTAATAAATGTTGTTCTACTGTTGCCAATATCTCCGGATAATATAATTATGGTTACATATTTCCCATTTACACCAACAACATGTTATAGTGTTCATCCGATTCCCATTAATAGCTATGATCCGAAACGACATCGATGGCAACACAAAAACTATTTTCCTCAAAAATTACGGAATTTTCACAAATGCCCTGTGACCTGTGCCACTTACGAAGAAATGCCCTATTTGGCTTTAAAAGTCAACGAAAGCAACAATGTTGTCACATATTATGAAGGATTTGAAGGTGAACTACTCAAATACACGGCGGATAGTTTAAACTTCACAACGCAAATTCATTGGATGGATCTGGAGGAGATCAATGAGTCATTTAACGATACGGGACTGATATTTAAGGAGGTTAGTGGAAATTTATACATATATATAGGAAAGGCGTAAATTATATTTTTAAGGGTCTAGGAGAGGCGTAGATTTTTTAAATAAAATTTTTAAGAGTCTAGGAGAGGCGTAGATATTTTAAATAATATTTTTAAGGGTCTAGGAGAGGCGTAGATTTTTTAAATAATATTTTTAAGGGTCTAGGAGAGGCGTAGATTTTTTAAATAATATTTTTAAGGGTCTAGGAGAGGCGTAGATTTTTTAAATAATATTTTTAAGGATCTAGGAGAGGCGTAGATTTTTTAAATTATATTTTTATGGGTCTAGGAGAGGCGTAGATTTTTTATATTATATTTTTAAGGGTCTAGGAGCGGCGTAGATTTTTTAAATAATATTGTTAAGGGTCTAGGAGAGGCGTAGATTTTTTAAATAATATTTTTAAGGGTCTAGGAGAGGCGTAGATTTTTTATATTATATTTTTAAGGGTCTAGGAGCGGCGTAGATTTTTTAAATAATATTTTTAAGGGTCCATCCTGGCTATAAACGTCGATTTTTTGTAGAATATTTTCAGAGATATATCCAGGCTATAGACGTGGATTTTTTAAATAATATTTTTAAGGGTCTAGGAGAGGCGTAGATTTTTTAAAAAATATTTTTAAGGGTCTAGGAGAGGCGTAGATTTTTTAAATAATATTTTTAATTCCTAGAAGTGGCGCAGATTTTTTAAATAATATGTTTTTAAGGCCTAGAATTTGCGTAGATTTTTTAAATAATATTTTTAGAGGCGTAGATTTTTTAAATAATATTTTTAAGGGTCTAGGAGAGGCGTAGATTTTTTAAATAATATTTTTAAGGGTCTAGGAGAGGCGTAGATTTTTTAAATAATATTTTTAAGGGTCTAGGAGAGGCGTAGATTTTTTAAATAATATTTTTAAGGGTCTAGGAGAGGCGTAGATTTTTTAAATAATATTTTTAAGGGTCTAGGAGAGGCGTAGATTTTTTAAATAATATTTTTAAGGGTCTAGGAGAGGCGTAGATTTTTTAAATAATATTTTTAAGGGTCTAGGAGAGGCGTAGATTTTTTAAATAATATTTTTAAGGGTCTAGGAGAGGCGTAGATTTTTTAAATAATATTTTTAAGGGTCTAGGAGAGGCGTAGATTTTTTAAATAATATTTTTAAGGGTCTAGGAGAGGCGTAGATTTTTTAAATAATATTTTTAAGGGTCTAGGAGAGGCGTAGATTTTTTAAATAATATTTTTAAGGGTCTAGGAGAGGCGTAGATTTTTTAAATAATATTTTTAAGGGTCTAGGAGAGGCGTAGATTTTTTAAATAATATTTTTAAGGGTCTAGGAGAGGCGTAGATTTTTTAAATAATATTTTTAAGGGTCTAGGAGAGGCGTAGATTTTTTAAATAATATTTTTAAGGGTCTAGGAGAGGCGTAGATTTTTTAAATAATATTTTTAAGGGTCTAGGAGAGGCGTAGATTTTTTAAATAATGTTTTTAAGGGTCTAGGAGGCGTAGATTTTTTAAATAATATTTTTAAGCCTATCCTTAGGCGTGGATTTTTAAATAATATTTTTAAGGGTCTAGGAGAGGCGTAGATTTTTTAAATAATATTTTTAAGGGTCTAGGAGAGGCGTAGATTTTTTAAATAATATTTTTAAGGGTCTAGGAGAGGCGTAGATTTTTTAAATAATATTTTTAAGGGTCTAGGAGAGGCGTAGATTTTTTAAATAATATTTTTAAGGGTCTAGGAGAGGCGTAGATTTTTTAAATAATATTTTTAAGGGTCTAGGAGAGGCGTAGATTTTTTAAATAATATTTTTAAGGGTCTAGGAGAGGCGTAGATTTTTTAAATAATATTTTTAAGGGTCTAGGAGAGGCGTAGATTTTTTAAATAATATTTTTAAGGGTCTAGGAGAGGCGTAGATTTTTTAAATAATATTTTTAAGGGTCTAGGAGAGGCGTAGATTTTTTAAATAATATTTTTAAGGGTCTAGGAGAGGCGTAGATTTTTTAAATAATATTTTTAAGGGTCTAGGAGAGGCGTAGATTTTTTAAATAATATTTTTAAGGGTCTAGGAGAGGCGTAGATTTTTTAAATAATATTTTTAAGGGTCTAGGAGAGGCGTAGATTTTTTAAATAATATTTTTAAGGGTCTAGGAGAGGCGTAGATTTTTTAAATAATATTTTTAAGGGTCTAGGAGAGGCGTAGATTTTTTAAATAATATTTTTTATAAGGCGTGGATTTTTTAAATAATATTTTTAAGGTCTATTAGAGGCGTAGATTTTTTAAATAATATTTTTAAGGGTCTAGGAGAGGCGTAGATTTTTTAAATAATATTTTTAAGGGTCTAGGAGAGGCGTAGATTTTTTAAATAATATTTCTAGACATGTGTGTCTGTCTGTCCCTTTGCCCATTATAATTTTTAAACACGATACCGGCCACAATTATTGACCAATCTTCACGAAATTTTGAATGTAGGATGGGTTCTGCCAATGAAGACCCCTATTGTTTTTGGTAAATATCGTATAATATTTTGGGGATGAAATGGACCAAAACCTTATTTTTATCGTTTTTTCTGGTCGCTCCACAGACCGCAATTATGGCCCGAACATCGCGAAACATCGGGCCAAAGAATAAACATGCCAGTTTTGATAAAGATCGGTCATTATTTAGCGGGTCAAATAGACCCTGACTTTTGTGTGAAAAGTGACAAAATTTGTATTCTATGGCGTATATATTTACTCCTGAAGGACATAGACCTAAGAAGTTTACAGTACATACAAGAGGAGTGGTTGGCCTTTTAGTTGATTCCAATTATATTGTCGTATGTATTCGGATGTGGGAGTTACACATAAATATTTACAGGTACTTACGTATTCAGATATTATTGAGTAACCCATTACCACACTGGAAGGCGGAAATATAGCGCTGATCGCTTTGTTATGGCTAAGGGCAACACTTAAAATTTTCCGTGATGATCAGATAAAATTTTTGGGATGAACGGGACCGAACATTATTTTGTTTTTTTTTTTTTTTTGGGGTTTTTTTTCGAGTTGAACTTTATGCCATAATTGAAAGCCGAACATCACAACACAAATCACGGTGAAGGGAATATGGACCGGTAATTAGAAGGACGGTACTGAACATTAGTAATATTCGGAAAATGTGTCAGTGTAAGGAAGAGATGCTGTTGACCTCTAATCGAGCTAGAGGGTACAACTGTCACGAAATATTGCCCAGGCTCGGAATAAAAATCCGCAGAAAGTTAGAGTTCGTAGTAGTTGTGTAGAGTATCGTATGGTCAGCCCATCCGACTTTACTGCTCCGCTCACTGGTATTTAATATTTTTTTTTTTTTTTTTTTTGGAATAAAATTATAACGAGGTTTCTCTAACCAGTCAAGATCCACACAAGCAACAACATTTGTTAAAACTTTTCAGGAGGTATTAAAAGCCAGAATTGTTAATAAGGAAACATGAATTTTATAATTTACTTAAAAATCGTTAATTATAATTTCTTCCTTCGTTCATTTCAGATCTTTTCCAAATCCGCCGACTTTGCCATTGGCGCTTTCTACTATAAACCGAATTTAAATGAAACATCACCATATTCACAAACAACCTACTATTATCTCTCTTACACCTATTTGGTAGCGAATGTCTTCAATACCTACAGTCCATATGAAAAAATTGCCTATCCATTCCATTTGCAGCTATGGTATTTGATTGGATTAATTCTAACTCTAAGCTCACTGCTCATACTCGGCTGCGAGGCTAGTCAGCGTTGGCGGAAGCTACGCAACTTCATAATTGGTGAGAATAACCACATGCCTCAATATCATCTCTACACATTGGCCCTGGGTGCCACTGTTTCGTCCGCTCAATTGCCACGTTATAATTTTGCACGTTTCCTGCTCGCCTGCTGGCTGCTGACCACCATAGTTATACGCAGTGCCTATCAATCGGGCATGTACGAAATGTTACGCAACAACAAGCATCGCAATCCACCCCAAACCATTGCCGATGTCATCAAGCAGGACTACGTTATTCTGCTGAAAGGTTACCACAAGAGTCTGTTAAGCATTTTGCCCGACATGAAGAAGGTCCGTGAAGTGAACGAAAGCCTGGTCGACGCATTTCCTCAATTGGCCGAGGCCAATGAACGAACGGCCGCCTTTACGCAGTATGAATATTTTGGCTATTTGGGCAAAACTAATTTGGCTACCTGGCGCAAGTTGCATTTGGTCAACGAGCGTATCTACACTCAGCAGCTGACCATGTATGTGCGTTCGCAATCGTATTTGGTGACTGAATTAAATGCACGAATTTCTAATGCCCAGTACTTTGGTTTCATCAACCATTGGGTGAATAAATACTTTGGTCGTCCGACAAATGCCGTGGGCAAGTTCCATCAGAGCAATTCGACTCAGACGAATATTCTGTCGATTAATGAATTGGGAGCTGTGTTCATGATTTTGTTGTGGTTACATTTAGCGGCTGTGGGTGTATTTGTAATGGAATTGCTATGGCATCGATATGAGGCAATGGTTCAACGGTGGGCCATTAAAAATCGCTTTTTTGCATCATTGGCTGTTGTCGTTTCAAATTTTACGGAACATCATAATTAAATAGTGTATCGAAAACTACCAAATTTTCAATAGGTAGTTTTCTATGGAATAATTATGTGTTGCTATTTTGAATAGTTATGCATTTTTTAATCTATATTCGTTTATATTGGAAATCATGTTATCTGCATCTGTATGTATGTTTTGTTTAGTAATAATAAATGCCGATTTAAAGCCAAATGCTTATCCTGTATGCTTATCCAGATGGCTGTACTGATAGATTTCTAGTAAAGTATAGATCAAACAATTTCAGATTTATGCTCGTTGGAAGGTTGACATTTCGCAGTAACAAAATTATTTTGCTGAAAAAATTGACCTATATTTATAATTTTTAGTAGGTAGATTTGCTACCCAATAAGAACTCAAAGTACCAAATTTCAGCGAATTCAGTTAAAAAAACACGCTCAAGAACCTCAAAATACCGAAAATTGGGGGGTACACTTATATGGGAGCTATGCCTAAACGGGGACCGATATATCCCATCTTCGAACTTGACCTGCCTGCAAACAAAATACAACTTTATGCAAAATTTCAGCACCCTATCTCAATTCCTTCAGAAAATAGCGTGATTACAACAGACGGACGGACATGGCTAGATCGTCTTAGAATTTTACCCTGATCAAGATATATACTTTATAGGGTCGGAAATGAATATTTCGATGTATTACACGGAATGACAAAATTAATATACCCTCCATACTATGGTGGAGGGTATAAAAAATGTGTAGATGTTAAATCGCACGATCTAGGCGACCAATTCTGGTCTCCAAAACTCGAAATAACACGACAGGGAAATTAGTGATGCTGCAATTGAATTGTTTCTCTGGCTATATGACATATGGCGCTTTCTTGTTGAAAGTACATGACCACCACATTAATTTCATCAATAATGGGCATTTCATTTCACGATACCGAACAACATGTAATGTTTGCGCTTGACCTGTCTCATTTTCATTGCCTAAAACGTAGAACACACAGTGACACTCTGAGGATGCATTTACTTTCTTTCGGATTATTGACGAAACCATCATGATGGAAATGGACCTCGTCACCGATGATCAGCATTTTCATGCTGTTTCTCCAATACCCAATTAACGATTCAATTCATTTGTGTAGCGCTCCGGACGGGGTCTACCACCACACCAACACAACGCTCAGTTTCTGCCGATCTATATTCCTAGCCTGGATAATATTTCGCTATATTTTCACTCTGTTGACCCATAAGATGTAAACACCTCCTCTGCCGCATCATTTGACCCGCTAAATATCGACCTTTATTATCACGACAACCATTCGAATGGTAATACCAAATAATATTAGAATACATAGACCCGGTAAAATATAAGTGTAACTCTCGCATCCGGGTACGTACACCAATATAATGGGTATCAGTTTAAAGCTCAACCACTCCTCTTGGATATATTGTCAACTTCTCTGCGTCCATTTGATCCGCTATATATTGACCGATTATCATGAAAAGAGCCATACTTATTCTTTGGTCAGATTCACTTTCGTGATGTTGGGGTCGTAATTGTGGCGTCCAGAAAAACAGACCAAAAAATAATGATTTTGGTCCGTTACATTCCCTAAGTATTAACCGATTATTACCAAAAATAATTTGGGTATTCATTGGACAGAACCCGTCCTAAATGCAAAATTTCGGGACGTGTTTACAAATTATAATCGGCAGACGGGCGGACACACATGGCTAGATCGTCTCAGGGTGGCCCAACTAGAACCAAATGTTTACACCCACACAACTATGTTGTCTGGGTATTATAGCTTTGTGCAGTCCCAAAATTTTGTAACGCAGCTAAATATTGGTCCCACCTTTCAATATACCGATCGTCATATCTCGACTAGCTGAGTCGATATAGACATGTGTGTCCGTCCGTCCGTCTGTCCATTATAATTTGTACACACGATACAGGCGACAGTTATGGGCCAATCTTCACGAAATTTTGCAATTAGGATGGGACAACATTGCGAATTTTTTTTCAGGGAGAAGGGAATTGGGCCAAAGAATATCCATGACTGTTTTGAAAAAGATCGCTCACTATTTAGCGGGTTAAAGAAGAACCTGACTTTTGTATGAAAAATTACAAAATATGTATTCTGGGGCTTAACCATTTACTCCTGACGGACATAGACCCGAAAAGTTTATAGTATATCCAAGAGGAGTGGTTGACTTTTAAATTAATACCAATTATTTTGACGTATGTGCTCGGATATGGGAGTTACACTTAAATATTTACAGCTGCCTACGTACTCAACTATTATTTACTGACCCATTACACACTAGAGGGCGGAAATATAGCGCTGATCGCTTTGAAATTTTCCATGAGGCTCCAGTTATGACCAAGGACAACGCCTATGATGATTATGATGAGCATATAATAAATTTGGGATGAAGTAAACCGAACACTTAAATTTATTTATTTATTTATTTTTTTTTTTTTTTTTTTTTGAGGCTATCTATAGGCACCACAGACCCCGTATATCCTTCAATTTGCATGCAATTTGGCACGGTGTACTGAATAGAGTAACAAATTTGTGCACGGTGTGCATAATTTGGACAAGTAATTAGAAGGGCTTTAATGAATATTTGTAATATTTGGTAAATATGTCTGTGTAAGGAAAAGGTGCTGCTGACCTCTATTCGGTCAAGAGGGTGCAAATATCTCAGGCCCGGAATATACGTCCGCAGAAAGTAAGTGTTTAGTGGTAATTGTGTAGGGTATCGTATGGTCGGCGCCGTACGACTATATTGCTCTGTTCAATGTTTATACCCTTCACCACACCATGGTACCGGGTATTATGTCTTTGTGCATATGTTTGTAACAGGCGAAAGGAAACTATATAGACACATGGTTCCTTTTGGGAATATGCATAGAATCACTTTCTCAGTCGATTTATGCTAGGTCGTATTTATGATCCGATTTGGATGACATTTGGCATAACTCACTTATTTGGGCCAAAGACGAACCCTATTGAAATTGGAAAAAATGGGTTCAGATTTAGATATAGCTTCCATATATACCTTCGTCCGATTTAAGGTAATTGGGGCACCTGAATAATGTGTGCTGAGTTTCGTGAAAATCGGTTTCGATTTAGATATAGCTCCCATATATAGTTTTGTCCGATTTTATGAAAATGGTGCCGCGAAATCCCTATATAACTTTCGATTTGCACCACCAAAGCCCCTATATATTTTCGATATGAGCGAAATTTTGCGTGGGGTTCTCAATTGAGTCTAGAAGGACGTGTGCCAAGTTTTGAGAAAATCGGTTCAGATTTATATATAGCTTACATATATATTTTCGCCCGATTTAAGGTAAATGGGGCACCAAAGTCCCTGTATATCCTTCGATTTGCACGAAATTTGGCATAGGGTACTGAATTGAGCCTAGATGATGATGTGTTTCAAGTTTTGTGAAAATCGGTCCAGATTTAGATATAGCTCCCATATATATTTTCGTCTAATTTAATGTAAATTGTGCACCAAAGATACACCATTAGCAGTTTGGCGTACTGAATTACCTAGAATGATGTGTGTTATATTTCGTCAAAATCGGTTCAGACACAATATTCCGATTTTAGGTAAATGGTACACCAAAGTCCCTATATATCCTTCGATTGAACGAAATTTGGCATATGTACTGAATTAAGTCCAGTATGATTTGTGTAGTTTCAGAGAAATTTTGTGTATTTTTCTGTATTTTTATTTACACTTGATGTTGATGTTGTTCTGCATGTTCAAGGGGATTTTCGTGTCTTTGAGATTGATATATGTTCCTTCCATAGCTCGTATGTTAAGTTTCGAGAAAATCGAGTTAGATTTAGATTTATGTTAGTTAAATTTCATGTCGAAAAGGCGACGTCTTTTAGGATACATATGTAGAATATATTCAAAGTGGTGAAGTGTATCATATAGTCGGCCCAGTCCGACTTTACTTCTTTCCTTACTGTTTTTTTATAATATGGCCAATTCCCATTTGAAAATACACATTTATTCCAAATTTAATTAACTGTTTATATCGTAATAGAATTTAGGTTTACTAACGGTATGACAAGCTCAATACACAATTTCCCTTCAACAAAGTATTGAAGAAAATTCTATAAAATTGATATATTTTAACCGGATCTTAAATACCTCCCCTTAAACGTTAATGGTTAGTGTTAATTATTCTCTATTGGCATTTGTGAAGACAAAAGAAATCGTGTTATCATTTAAATTTAAAATTCCAATGAACCACAACTACTGATTGCTTAACTTGACATCCGCACATCACGAACTGAATGCGGATATATGACTTCGGTAATAAATTTTAATTGAATACGTCAATGGAAAACATTTTTCAAATTCGTATTCTTATTAAATACATTTTAGACATTTAGCCCCATTTTTTGCTATAATTCCCAGTCTCCAATTCCAATTCTTTATAATTAGTTCTAGCAACCAAACATTAGCAATAGCATTACACACACTCACTCTCACAAAGGGCCCCTAGGTGGAATCTAAATCTATGGACACTCCAATTATATCTGACCCGTGGTACACAATTTCCCGTGAACAGACAAATGTGGACGCATTTCGAAACAAACATCCATGACTACAAATTTAAAAAAACAGGGAAGTAGGGAGGGCAACAGAGAGAGATGGAGTGAGTGAGCGTGCAAATGCTCTACAAATGTTAAACATCGTAATCCGGTATCACCACAAAACGTTTGTACGATTCGACATACACAAACACACACACACACATCCAATCATATATAGATGTCGTTACAGATGTGAAGTTTTCCAAATTCATGTTAGGTATGATGATACACCAGAGGTGGCTTTCACTGCCGATGTCGTTGTTGTTGTTAATGCTGCTGTTGCTGTTGTTGTTTTGCACAATACATTCAAGCGGAAATGAAGAATTGTGAATCTTAAAACGTTAGGCATATTGGCAACATTTCCGGTCAGTGAACATCATACAATCGTCCACATTGCTGCTACTGCTGTTGCTTCTATCCTGCCCCAACTGATAGCGGCGCATAATGAATAATTCGGGAATTTTGGAAACTGGAAATTAATTCCACAACCTGGTTGAATTGCTTGCTAGTCAGTGAACAGCGAATGTTTAGATATCTCTGTGTATGGCTCAAAATTTGTATCGGCTTTTAATTCGAATTTTGTTGCATGAATTAAATCAGCGGCTATATTGGCATTCTGCCCTGACTTGTTTCATGTTGCATGGGTGATGTTGGTTTTGCCGAATCGTTTGAATTTGTTGCAAATTCGTGGTCATAAAACTGACTTTTAATCACTTAACGATTTGTTGGGCCGCAGCAAAGTGAATGCTTTCAATGACTATGAAATTATCATTGCAATTTTGATGAAGGTTTGAAATGGGGTGGGGATCAGAAATGTTAACTGATTTATTCAAGGAGTATTTAGTTCGAACGGAATACCATTTTGATTTCATGGAAAAAAAGTATTCTTTGAAGACATTTATGCTCGCAGATTAACTACAATGGAGAAAGCGTTAAGTTTACACCACCAACAAATTTTAGCAATCTTTAATGGGGATATTTCTAAAGTCTCAAAACCCCAATACATGTCTATAAAATCCTCAAAATACTGAAATTTAGAAGGCAATGTTATGTGAGTTTATATCTAAATTGGGAACAATATTGATCACATCGGGTAGGAATTAGCTAATATTTGGAGTTTTCTGAGGGTCTACGCCTAATTAATCTCTTAGTTTTGTATCTCAATACCTTCCTTCACGCTAAATATTAAAAAAAAATACCGAAAATCGAAAGGTGCCATTTTATGGGGCTAGGCCAAAATCGGCCTATATGTTTCATTGTCGAACCTGACGTTCTAGTTTTTTTATCACGATATCCTCCGAAGGTATAAACTGACAACTCCGAGTACAGAATATACCCTATAGAATACGTCTATATGGGGACAACTCCAACACGCGGAAGAAATCGGTTAACTAATTATACCCTACACAACTATGTTATCAGGGTATAATAGCTTTGTGCAGCCCCAAAAGTTTGCAGCGCCGGAGGTTACTAGACCCACCTTTAAGTATACCGATCGTAATATCTCGACTAGCTGAGTCGATCTAGACATGTGTGTTCGTCCGTCCGCCTGTCCATTATAATTTGTAAACACGATTCAGGCCACAGTTATGGACCAATCTTCACGAAATTTTGCATGTAGGATGGGTTCTGCCCAATGCAGACCACTATTTTTTTGGTAAAGATCGGTTAATATTTAGGGACCAAATACTTAATTTTGTAGGTTTTTTTTTTTTGTTTGATCGCTCTAGAAGCCGCAATTATGGTCCGAACATTGCGAAAATTTACGCGGAGAAGGGGATCGGGCCAAAGAATAAGCATGCCTGTTTTAATAAAGATCTGTTATTATTTAGCGGGTCAAATGGACCCCGACTTAGACCCGAGAAGTTGATAGTATATCCAAGAGGAGTGGTTGACCTTCGTATGTACTTGGATGTGGGAGATACTCTTAAATATTTACAGGAGATTACGTATTGATATAGTATTCAGTAACCCATTACCACACTAGAGGGCAGCAATATAGCGCTGATCGCTTTTAAATTTTCCATGAGGATCCAGGTATGGTCAACTACTACGGCTATAATTTTCGGTGATGATCAGATACTAATTTTGGGATGAATTAGACCGAAAACTTAATTTTTGGTGTTTTTTTCTATATCTATAGGCCACAATTGAAAGCCGAACATCACAACCCAACCCACCGTGAATGGAATCTGTACTCAATATTAGTAATATTTGTTGACCTCTAGTCGGTCAAGAGGGTGCAAATATCGCGAAATATTGCCAAGATCAGAATATAAAACCCCAGAATGTTAGATTTTCGTGGAATTTGTGTAGGGTATCATATGATCGGTCCCGTCCGACTATACTGCTCCGCTCACTGGTTTAATATAGATAAGTGATGTTTTACTTGTTTATATTAAATCAGGTAGTTATACCCACCACAATGTGAAGTGCATTCAAAATTTCTTAAACTGGGGTTCTATCAAAACTTGACACTATATAAACACGGCACAAATTTGTATCGCTGTCAGTCTTTCAGATCTCAATTACAGCCTCATCGGTTGGAAAATTCGGCTAAAATCTACAAAATACCGAAAATGGGATGATAACATTTTAGGGTAGCTATACCGAACCGTAAACTCACATTGATAATTTTTGGTAGGTGTCAACCATAAGAATTTGATAAATCAAAATAGAGCGAATTCGATTGAAAAACATGTTCTAACCCCACAAGATTTCGAATAATGGCTGTAGGGGGGCTACCCGAAAGCTTGGGCCAATATTGACTATTTTGGTAAGGAGATCGTATACTCAATATATAATGACAACTAATTTGGCTGTAGGTCCTCAAAATTACCAAAATTAGGAATGTAGCGTAATATTATTCCCTAAAAAGTGAACCAATATTGATCATGTTTAATACCAAGATTTGACACCTCATGAGAACATGAAAATCAAATCTGAGCCAATTCGTTTAAAAACGTGCCCAAAACCTCCAAAAACCGACTTAATGGGGTAGGGAGAGGATCCCAAATAATTAATTGCTCCCAAATTAGTTGACACATGGGCTCAGGTAACGATAATAGGTTGTGCAAAGTTTGGTTCAAATCAGATAGCAAAACCTTCACTATTTTGTGGAGAGGTTCCCAATTTTCTAACTTCAACCAAGTTTTGAAAAAGTATTACAGTGGATGAAATCGGTGAAATGTCTTTGTGCATATGTTTGTAACAAGCAAATGGAAACGAGATAGACACATGGTTCCTTTTGAGAATATGCCCAGAATCACATTCTGATTCGATTTATTTATGTCCGTCTGCCCGTCCGTCCGTCTGTAGATGTTAAAGTGTAAACAAAATACAGGTTGCATTTATGATCCGATTTGAATGAAATTTGGCACAAGTCACTTATTTGGCCCAAGGACGAACCCTATTGAAATTGAGGGAAATCGGATCAAATTTAGATATAACTCCCGTATATAGTTTGGTCCGATTTTATGTAAATGGTGCACCAAAGTCCCTACATATCTTTCGATTTGCACGAAATTGTGCATAGTGTACTGAATTGAGTATTGAATAACTTATATTAAGTTTCGAGAAAATTGGTTCGGATTTAGATATAGCTCCCATATATAGTTTCGTCCGATTTTATGTATATGGTACACCAAAGTCCTTATATATCATTCGATTTGCAAGAAATTTGGCATAGGGTATTGAATTAGGTCCAGAATCAGGTCTGGAATAATGTGTATTAAGTTTCATGAAAATCGGTTCAGATTTAGATATAGCTCCCATATATATCTTCGTCCGATTTAAGGTAAATGGTGTAACAATGTCCCTATATATCTTTCGATTTGCACGAAATTTGGCGCAGCGTAGTGAATTATGTCTAGAATGATGTGTGCTAAGTTTCATGAAAATTGGTTCAGATATAGATATAGCTCCCATATATATTTTCGTCCGATTTAAGGTAAATGGTGCGCCAAAATCCCTATATATCTTTTGATTTGCACGAAATTTGGCATAGTATACTGAATTAGGTCTAGAATGACGTGTGTTAAGTTTGGTGAAAATCGGTTGAGATTTAGATTTGGCTCCCATATATATTTTCGTCCGATTTATGTTTCGATTGGCTCGAAATTTGGTACAGCATACTGAATAGAGTCTAGAATGATGTGTGCTAAGTTTCGTGAAAATCGGTTTAGATTTAGATATGGCTCCCATATATTTTCTTCCGATTGGTGGAGCACGAATACCCCTATATTTTCTTCCATTTGCACGGTTCAACGAGGAGCATCTGTTCTATATACACGTGATAAAATTGTGGACGGCACTTTGTGCTGCAGCAAATATGCCACCGTTGCTCAAATGGAACACCAAAGAATCAAAGTCTCCCCTATTGACATGGCATTTTCATAGATTTCAGAATGGTATCTTTATGGGGTTTTGTAATATGTTCAAATATCTGTGTACATCGCACATTTTATTCCGGCTGATTACATCTCAAATGCCATAAAAATATGATATGTTTGTTTTATCTACAGGATATACAATATCCTGTAATATATTAGCGCCTCTTGTATGTACCTATAGTGTTGAAGTTCCCCGTCCGACTTTTGAGTTTTCCTTACTGGTTTATTTTTATAAAAATTATGATTTATAAATTATTGTGGAAATATTTCCAATTAGTCGTTATACCCGTGGATTAAATATATTTGCAGATAATATTAAGGATAATTTTGGAGCTCATATATTTCATAAATATTATTTCAAGCAGTATTACTGCCTGTGTATTAAAAATCCTGGATTACGGAAAATTTTGAAGTGGTAAGATATTGTGGTAATTTATAAAAATAAAGTTAGAATATAATATTTGTAATTATTTGTATTTTCTGTTTATTTATATCTTAAAATTTCACTACAATATTTTTTTACAATAAAATAAAATTATTTCCAAACAAAATACAATCGATGCCACACACATAAGGGCTAGATATGTTACAAATACCCCCGTGACTTTTGAAAATTCCACCGCCACAAAATTGACATCAGTGGGTGCATCAAAATAACTTACATCTAAACTTTGTCTGGCCCAAAAATCTATTAGACCCATACTCCGCAAATTCATAAGCAAAAAATTAATACGATTTATCAGAAATGAATGTTTTGAAAAATACATTGTTATATGCTGGGTGAAAATCTTCTCGGGTAGAGCAAAAAATACTCCTCGTTTATTTTCCTCTGTGGCATGATAAGTTAAAAAATCCATTGGTGATATGCCCGACAAACAATTCCCCTCCCTCGTATTCTCTTCCATATAGAAAAATGTACTCTGCTCTGAGGTGTTTTTGATTTTAATCACTTCGATGAGGCCCTCTTGTATTCTCGGTACCGTGGCAATGGAATCATAAGTACCCTCTGTGGTTACCAACTTACAACCCTTGGCTATTAAATCTGACAGACTTTGTGGTGGATCATGATATAAATTTCCCTTCAACAGTTGAAATAACAGCGACTGATAAGCGGTACGCATCAATAGCCCATAGACATCCCATAGTATTAGAACAAATCGTGTAAAATTTGTTCTCGGCTGTTCGGCTATACTCTGTCCAAAAAATACCTTAACAATATTTGTCACAGGAGTCGTGGGTCTTGGATGACCGAGTATTACTTGTACAAATTGAGATTTCTGATATTTAAATTGTAACAGGTAGCCGATTGTCATCACCAGTTGTATACTTAAAATTAAGCAAAGCCATGTCTTGTCATCGAAGGCGAATACTAAAATTTCGAGAGATGTATATGGTTGTGCCGTTCGTAGAAATCCATATATTTGCCATGTCTGGTAGTAGGGTAATGCCGCCGTCATCATTTGTGATCTCTCCAGGGTGTAGCGAAATGAACCCAAACTGAAATCTGCAATGCGTTCTTGTAACTGTAAGAAAAGAAAAATATACAACAAATTAAAAGCAATAGTCCAGGAGTCCAAAGATTTCTTAAATAATATATCTAAATCTGAATTGATTTCAACAGAACTTAACACATGCCATTCTTTGGCAAATTATATTTACTAGTTTATAAAATATTGACCTTCGTGGGGAGGTGCCAGACTTTATAAAGATAATAAGTTGTGCAAAGTTTGTTTCCTTCCATTCGCCTGATATTTGTAAATATATAAAACTCTTACCATTTTTGGGGGTTCCAGAAGGAGAGCACCAATGTTCCCTTCTTCGGACTTGATTTAGACTTAGTAAAAAATAATGGGCTGTACAAAGTTTGGCCCAAATCGGATATTTCGTTCACATTTCTAAACCTTCAAAACATTTTTTAATTCACGTGTTCTGCTACCCCATCAATATTTTAAACAAAACATATTTTAAACAATCTTCAAGTTTGTCTACACCATTACAATACAGTCAATAAGCCAAAAATGCTGTACACCTTCAAAAATTTTTTTAAAAATTCGAAAAACTAATTACACCTTCAAAATATTTTTAAACTGGGCCGACCATACGATACCCTACACAACTACCACTGAGCTCTAAGATTCTGTGGTTTTACGTTCCGAAGGTAATATTTCGCATTCTATTCAACTATTTTCTGCGACGTCTTTTCTGAATTATCATAAAAAAACAGTGAGCATAGCAGTAAAATCGGACGAGCCGAACATATGATACCCTACACAACAACCAAGGAGCGCTCAGTTTCTGCCGATCTATGTTCCAAGCCTGGGTAATATTTCCCAATATTTCCACTTTCTTTATCCATTACATGTCAATAGCTCGTCTGTAGCATCATTGGACCCGCTAATTATTATGGGCAGGTGGACGGACATACATGTCTAGATCGACATCAGCTAGTCGAAATATGATGATCGGCATATTAAAAAGTTGGTGTAGCACCAATATTTCGCGGCTTTACAAAATTTTGGGGTCACACAAAGCTATAATACCTTTACAGCATGTTGTGTATGATATGAAAACGAACGAGGCCGGCTTCACCTTCAGGAAATACTTTTTTAAAATCCACAACACCTCATCAACAAAAAAAATCTTAAAAACCCACGAGTCCTCCTCGAGGTGTTTTTTTTATTCAAAAACTTTAGTTCGGAAATCCACGAGACCTTCTACACCATCTTACAACATTTTAAAAATTCATAATCATTGCTAAATCCTCAAAAACCAATTTTAACCAGTAAGGAAAGTAGTAAAGTCGGACTGGGTCGACTATATGATACCCTTCACCACTTTGGGTATATTGTACATATGCATTTAATTTGATTCGGTCAGATTTAGAGTCGTCTGCGCACCATGGGACAAATTTATGGAAAACGATTTATAAAAAAATTGATACACGCTATTCGGTACACCGCGCTGTTAAAAATTTTATTTCAATCAGACACCCGTTCGAAATACATATGGAAGCTATGGCTGCATCTGCGCCAATAAAAAAAAAAACACAATAAAGTCATTCAAGTCTCAATTTGATACGTTGTGCAAAATTTCGTGTTAATCGGACAAACATTAGGAGTTTGGCGCAGCATTTATGTAAATTCGGACGAATATATTTGTATATGTCGGCGCTATATCCAAATCTGAATCGATTTTTCCGAAACTTACCGCACATCATTCTAGACTCAATTCAGTACGCTATACCAGATTTCGTGCAAATCAAGAATATGTAAGATTTTTGCACCGTGCAAATCGAAAATATATATAGGGAAACTTACCACACATCTTTGGCAGACTGAATTTACGCTATGCCAAATCGGCAAATCGAAATATATATATGGGAGCTATATCTAAATCTGAATCGATTTTCATGAAATTTAACACACATCGTTCTAGACTTAATTCTGTACGCTATGCCAAATTTCGTGCTCATTGAAAGACATATAGTGGCTTTGCTGCACCATTTACAAAAAATCGGACGAAAATATATATGGGAGCTATATCTAAACTCACCACACATTCTAGACTCAATTCAGTACGCTATACAAAATTTCGTGCAAATCGAAATATATATTGGGACTTTGGTCCACTATTTACCTAAAATAGGGCAAAGCTATATATGGGAGCTATATCTAAATCTGAACCGATTTTCTCAAAACATTTCACACATCATTCTAGACTTAATTCAGTACGCTATGCCAAAATCCGTGCAAATCAAAAGATTTCCAGGGACTTTAGTGGACTATTTACCTAAAATCGGGCGAAGCTATATATGGGAGCTATATCTAAATCTGAACCGATTTTCACGAAACTTAATACGCATCACTCTAGACATCATTCAGTACGCTATGCCAAATTTCGTGTAAATCGAAATATATATTGGGACTTTGGTGCACAATTTACATAAAATCGGACGAAAATATATATGGGAACTATATCTAAAGCTGAATCGATTTTCACGAAACTTGACAGACATCATTCTACCTTATTCATTACGCTGTTCCACATTTCATGCAAGTCGAAAATTTCCAGGGACTTTAGTGGACTATTTACCTAAAATCGGGCGAAGCTATATATGGGAGATATATTTAAATCTGAAGGAAACTAAACACACATCATTCTAGGCTCAATTCAGTACGCTGTGTCAAATTTCGTGCAAATCGAAAGATATTTAGGGACTTTGGTACACAATTAACCTTAAATCGGACCAAAATATACATGAGAGCTATATCTAAATCTGAACCGAGTTTTCCCAATTTCAATAAAGTTCGTCCTTGGGCCAAACAAATGAGCTGTGCCAAATTTCATCGAATTCGAATCAAAAATGCGACCTGTACTTTGTTTACAATTTAACATGGACAGACGGACGGACATGCATAAATCGACTCAGAAAGTGATTCTATGCATATTCTCAAAAGGAACCATGGGTCTATCTCGATTATTTTTGCCTGTTACAAAAATATGCACAAAGACATTATACCTTGTACCACAGTGTGGTGAAGGGTATAAAAATCAAAGAGTCCTGCTATTAAATATATTAAAATACCTCCAAGCTCAGATAGTTCAAATACTATTTTTCAAAATTCGTGAGTCCAGGTACACTTTCAAAACACACGAGTCCTTCTACAACTACAAAAACTATTTCGTAAAAATTAAATAGTCCTGTTACAACTTTAAATGACATAGTTTTATCCAGTGAGCGGAGCAGTATAGTCGGACTAGGCCGATCATATGATTGGCATGGATCATATGATCATGGATATCTAATTTTCTGTGCTTGGGCAATATTTCGCGATATTTGCGCCATCTTGGCCGACTAGAGGTCAAAAAATATTACTAATATTCAGTACAGATTCCCTTCACCGTGGTTTGTGTTGTGATGCTCGGCTTTCACGAACATCTATTGTGTCCTATAGATCGACTCGAAAAAAACACAAAACTAGTTTTCGGTCGAATTCATCCCAATACCGAAATGTATATACGTTGTCCTTGACAATACCTGGATCCTCATGGAAAATTTCAAAGCGATCAGCGCTATATATCAGCGCTCTATATGTGAATACGTAAGCACCTGTAAATATGTATGTTTAACTCCCACATTCGAGAGAATACGACAATATTCTTTTTGGATATACTATCAACTTCTCGGGTCTTTGTCCTTCAGGGGTAAATATATACGCCACAGAATACAAATTTTGTAATTTTTCACACAAAAGTCCGGGTCCATTTGAACCGCTAAATATTGACCGATCTCTATCAAAACAAGCATGCTTATTCCTTGGCCCGATCTCCTTCTCCATGTAAAAATTCGCGATGTTTGGACCATAATTGCGGTCTTTGGAGCGACCAGAAAATTAGACAAAATAAAGTTTTTGGTCCATTTCATCCCCCAAATATTGACTGATCTCTACCAAAAACAATAGGGGTCCTCATTGGCCAGAACCCATCCTGCATGCAAAATTTCGTGCAGATTGTATCGTGTTTACAAATTATAATGGACAGACGGACAGACACACATGTTTAGATTCAGCTAGGCGAGATATGATCGGTATACTTAAAGGTGGGTCTAGGACTAATATTTCGCGGCGTTACAAATTCTTGGGGCTGCACAAAGCTATAATACCCTGACAACCTAGTTGGGTAGGGCATGAAAATTACATAATAAAATAAATAATATAAAATTACAAATGCATAAAAATAAAATTTAAGCATCCTACTACTGCTTCAAAGAATATTTTTAAGAGATATGTTTCTTCCTGAATAAATTTAACGAGCTCTGCTACTTCTTGAAATAATTACATCTTTTGTTTTCTAGTTAATCTACTTACCATTCTCAGTGCGCCCGTTGTTGTACCATTCTCCAATACCTTTCCACGTTGTTCATTATTTGGTGGCTCCTTCATATCTAATGTGAAATTCAACTTTCCAACCAAAACCCATAATAGGTCAGCTTCAAAATAGCCAATTTCATAAAATCCAATTGAATTGCGATGATAACTCAGGTAGGGTGGGGTATCCCAAACGGCCACAGTGATGGGGCATTGATGTAAATTTCCCATTTTCTCAGGGAAAATATTCTTTTGCAATGGCTTCAACCATGCCCCCAGAAAACTATTAATATGTTTTACATGAACCAATTTGCAGGATACGTTATCGTAAAACGGATAATAAGTTAAGGCTTCAACACTACCCGTGCGGGTATTTACTATGACCACCGTGACATTTATAATATAATTTTGCCAAAAGTAAGCGAAAATATCTTGTAACTGCTCCTCGAGATTTGGAAACCGTGAGGCATTCATCAGATAGACCAAATAAAATTCCTGAATATCATAATCGCGGGTATTATGGCCAGGATCTAAACGCCTGAAAAAAATTGTAACAGATTTTTTAACAAAACCCTTAAACAGAATTGAAAATAACTCAACGATACCTTAAAGCCTCCACACTATCCACCACAATTAGATTGTATTTGCGATTAAATGAGGGACCCCGTTGCCCATGCAAATTCTCCACTTCCACCTTAATCGAATTCAGACACAGCAACACATTATTGATGAAGTCTCGAATGTGCGGCTGCAGAATTTTCTCCTCGATATTGGTGCTCAGCATGAAACTGTTCGATTGCTGGGCAAAATAATCAGCAACAATGCTGCAGCATGCGGCAATGGCATGTTGCAAAAGTACAGGTAATTCCGGGTCAGGGAAATTTTGCATAATTGATAAATTATGATGATGGGGATGCTGTTGTTGTGCCAGCTGTTTGTCGTCTTGTTGTTCGTGGCTCCCCTGATGTTGTTGTTCTTGTATTCGTTCCTGTTGCTGTTATCCTTGTTGGCGCTCTTGTTCTTGTCTTACACAAATGACCATCGCCATCATACTCAATGTCACGGAAAATATTGCTAAACGCATTATCATCAACATCGACGTCGTAGTCGTCCTCGGCATCACCATCGCCATCAGTGAAATGTGTGTTGGCCCCAACCACCAAACGTTTACAAAAGTTTACCAAGTCTAAACGACTTCCGCCACGCTGCTCGGTTAGTTGTTCGCCAACAAAACTCAAAGTGAAAACTGATTTGAACTCGGTATTGCTTTGGTTTCCTTTTCTAGTTTGCACATTGTTCGCATTGTTTGCAACACTTTAGTGACTGCAATTCAATGTGTGCTGGGGTGTGTGTGTGTGCGTATGTCCGTGTACTCGGGGCGTATTTATGACTTTTGATGGTATTGACTTTTGCATGTGCCTGTCAGTTAATAGGGATAACTTCAGGGCACACAATTTCAGTGGGGTAGATGTGGGGATTTATATTCCTTTTTATACCCTTCAGCACACTGTGGTAGAGGGTATTATGACTTTGTGCATATGTTTGTAACAGGCAAAAGGAATCGAGATAGACCCATGGTTCCTTTTGAGAATATGCATAAAATCACTTTCTGAGTCGATTTATGCATGTCCATCCATCTAGTACAGGACGCATTTATGATCCGATTTCGATGGAATTTCGCACAGTTCACTTATCTGGCCCAAGGACGAACCCTAAGTCTATATATTTCGATTTGCACGAAATTTCGCACAACGTACTGAATAAAACATGGAATGATGTATGCACAACACAACTATGTTGTCAGGGTATTATAACTTTATGCAGCCCCAAGAGTTTATAACGCCGCAAAATATTGGCCCTAGACCCACCTTCAAGCCATATCTCAAATATCTGAGTCCATAAATGTTTATCCGTTCGTTCCTCTGTCCATTATAATTTCTAAACACGTATATAGCGTTATTTTACGTGAAGAAGGGGATCGGGCCTTTAAATTGATACCAATTATATTGTCGTACATACTCGAATGTGGGAGTTACACAATCGAAACGATATGTAGACCACAATAAGAAGCCGAACATTACAACACAACCCACGTTGATGGGAATCTGTAAAAGTAATTAGAATGGCTGTACTGAAGAAGCGCTGTTGACCTCTAATCAGGCAAAATGATGCATATATCACGAAATATAGCCCATGCTCGATATAAAAACCCGCAGAAAATTAGAGTTCCGTGGTAGTTGTGTAGTGTGTATATGGTCAGCCCCGTCGGACTATACTTTTCCGCTCACTTGTTTCAAAATAGATTTTTTTAAGAAATAACACATCTCGTGGATTTTTGAAAACATAAGTTAACAAATTGGAAAATTTGGAATTTTTAGCATATTTTATAATTTTTTCATATTTATTAACAGTGTCGCAGATCTATTTAAGAGGCATTTTTTAAAATTATTTTCTAATTTGTACAGTATGTAAGCATATCCGTCCATCTGTCTTTCTGTCCGTTTATTTGTTTTTATACCCTACACAACTATGTTGTCAGGGTATTATAGCTTTGTGCAGCCCCAAAAGTTTGTAACGCCGCTAAATATTGGTCCTAGACCCACCTTTAAGTATACCGATCGTCATATCTCGACTAGCTGAGTCGATCTAGACATGTGTGTCCGTCCGTCCATTATAATTTGTAAACACGATACAGGCCACAGTTATGGATCAATCTTCACGAAATTTTGCATGTAGGGTTCTAGGTTCTGGCCAATGAAGACCCCTATTGTTTTTGGTTAATATTTAGGTGATGAAATGGACCAAAAACTTTATTTTTGTCGGTTTTTCTGGTCGCTCCAGAGACTGCAATTATGGCCCAAACACGGCGAATTTTTGTATGGAGACATTTAAATTGATGCCAATTATATGGTCGTATGTCCTCAGATGTGGGAGTTACACTTAAATATTTACAGGTGCTTACGTATTCAGACATTATTTAGTAACCCATTACACTAGAGGGTGACAATTTAGCGCTGATCCATGAGATTTCAATTATGGTCAAGGACAACGCCTACAATTTTCGGTGATGATCAGATAATAATTTTGGGAGGAAGTGGACCGAAAAAGTATCTTTTTGTGTTTTTTTTTTTTTTTTTTTTTGTTAACTTGCTTGAAAATCGGTTCAGATTTAGATATAGCTCCCATATATATTTTCGACCGATTTAATGTAAATGGTGCACCAAAGTCCCTTAACAACTTTCAGTTTGCGCGAAATTTGGCACAGCGTAATTAATTAGGTCCAGATTTATATATAGCTTCTATATCTGACTAAATGAAAAATTTAGTATCAGTTGCAGAATGACATGTTTATGGATCCAATTTAATTTTACTGGTCCTTTAAAAATGCGATGTCTGTTAGGATTCATTTGTTGAATATACCGAAAGTGGTGAAGGGTATCACATAGTCGGCCCCGTCCGACTTTACTACATTCCTTACGGGTTTTAATTTTAAACTTCTGTAATTTTAAAAATATATGAAGATTCGGAATTTCATATTTTCTAGCATTTCATATTTTTACGAAGCTTTAAAATATGTATTCAGTAAATGAAAGACCTTTTCATAAATATATATTAAGCTCCCCCATAGTTTTACGCCCCTGCGATTTGATTGTAAAATCCATTTAGTTTATAACATTTGTTAAAAATTTGCATATCGTATGAAATCGTCATAACTTGCGTGATTTGCTCATGGTGTGTAACGTGTACATTGCATAATTAAACTAATGATTTAATTCGTTGTTACATTTATTTAGACCAGCCATTTGTTCACGCTACTTAAATTATCACGAATCCGCAGTGACAAGTCAAGCCAATTGTTAATTACACTGAAAGGAATTTTTGTAAACGAAAACATCAAACGTTCAGTTCTATATAGCGAAGCTATAATACATTTACATTGTACTAGATTTAGTAAATTCAGTGGGTTGAAATAGTCAACCTCATTGCGAATGTGTCAAATAAATCCACACACATGGTGTTTTATACCCCATTCTTAAATCCAGTATTGTAGTGCAATTACACATTTTTGCCTATGAATGAGTGTTATGTTTTCGCTTCAAAATTATAGCTTGAAATCTTGTTTTAAGTTAATCCCGTTTAAATGTATTTTGTTTATAGATTCGTTATTCGCGTTCTACACATTCACACAACTGTAAATCATTGGCAATTTTATTAAATTGTCTTCTCTCGCGTGTTGCAATGAAACTACACCATTCATCCATATGCATGTGAATATGAATAATGTGTTGGCAAATTATCCTCACCGAATGTGATAAATGTTCAACAAAGTTATTCTTTTTATACCCTACACAACTATGTTGTCAGGGTATTATAGCTTTGTGCAGCCCCAAAAGTTTGTAACGCCGCGAAATATTGGTCCTATACCCACCTTTAAGTATACCGATCGTCATATCTCGACTAGCTAAGTCGATCTAGACATGTGTGTCCGTCCGTCCGTCTGTCCGTCCGTCTGTCCATTATAATTTGTAAACACGATACAGGCCACAGTTATGGACCAATCTTCACGAAATTTTGCATGTAGGATGGGTTCTGGCCAATGAAGACCCCTATTGTTTTTGGAAAAGATCGATTAATATTTAGGACCAAAAACTTTATTTTTGTCGGTTTTTCTGGTCGCTCCAGAAGCCGCAATAATGGCCCAAACATCGTGAAATTTTCCATGGAGAAGGGGATTAGGCCAAAGAATAAGCATGCCTGTTTTCATAAAGATCGGTCAATATTTAGTGGGTCAAATGGACCCTGACTTTTGTGTGAAAAATTACAAAATTTGTATTCTATAGCGTATATATTTACCCATGAAGGACATAGACCCGATAACTTTATATTATATCCAAGAGGAGTGGTTGACCTATAAATTAATACCAATTATATTGCTGTATATACTCGGATGTGGGAGTTACACCTAAATATTTACAGGTATCTCCGTATTCGTATATCATTTAGTAACCCATTATAACTCTAGAGAGCGGAACTATAGCGCTGATCGCTTTGAAATGTTCCATGAGGTTCCAGTTATGGTCAAGGAGTCGAGTCGATCTATAGACCACAAATGAAAGCCGAACATCAAAACACAATCCACGGTGAAGGGAATCTGGACAATAGCTGTACTGAATACTCGTAATATTCGAAAAATATGTCAGTTTGAGGAAGAGTTGCTGTTTACTACTAATCGGGCAATAGGGTGCAAATATCACGATTTATTGCCAGGCTCGGAATATACATCCGCAGAAAATTTGAGTTCCGTTGTAGTTGTGTAGGGTATCGTATGGTCGGCCCCGTCCGACTATACTGCTCCGCTCACTGGTTTGGATATACATTTATTCATGTATTTATTTTGAATTTTCTTACGCATACTAGTTACAAATAGTTAATATTAAACCAGTAAGGAAAGTAGTAAAGTCGGACGGGGCAGACTATATGATACCCTTCACCACTTTGGGTATATTCAACAGATGAATGCTAACAGACGTCGCATTTTTGAAGGATCAGTAAAATGAAATTGCACCCATAAGCATGCCTTTCTGCAACCTATACTAAATTTAAATCAATTTAAAGCAAATATCAATCGGACATCCGTTTATTATGTGCACAAATATCTGATGAACATGAAGAGTTTGGTGCACCATAAACTTAAAATCGGACAAATATATATATAAAAGCTATATCGAAACCTAAACCAATTTCATCGAAACTTGTCACAGGTTAGGTTAAATTAATTCCAGTGTGTTTTGTGCATATCGGCCACATTTTGAGTTCTTGGTGCATCATCTACATAAAATCGGGAGAAAATATATGGTAGCTCTATCCAAATTTGAACCGATTTCAACAAAACTTTCCACATGCTTGGTTATATTAACTTCAGTGCGTTGTGCAAAATTTTGTGTCAATCGTCCATTTAACCATTTAACTAAAATCGGACGAAACTATATATGGGAGCTATATCCAAATCAGAACCAATTCCTACAAAACTTGGCAAACGTTATGTTATAGTATCTTTCGTACGTTGTGCTAAATTTTGTGTCAATCGGACCCACCTGGAGAGTTTGGTGCAGAATTTATATCTACCTTATTGGTTATACTAACTTCATTCAGTACGTTGTGAAAAATTGTATGTAAAATCGGACGAAAGTATTTGTGTAGAAGCTATATCTAAAACTGGACCGATTTTAGCGAGACTTGCAAAGACTAATTAATATTACCTACAGTTCATTGTACAAAAT